TCCTTCAGTTCTCATTGGCTGTCCCCAACCCTCAAGGAGGAAGAAGGAGGGGGGGGGGGGTTTGTCGATCGAAATCGTAAAAAAACTCTGAATCGGAAAGAGAAAATGGTGGGCCGTGACATCGTCATGTTGGTAAGGTATGTGATCTTAGCGGCGAGGGGGAGGCAAGACTTGCCTGCCAGATAATATCTTCCGGAGAGTGAGAGTGTGTGAGTGTGTGTGTGTGTGTGGAGAGAGAGCGAGAGGAGTCGGACCACCAAATGGCCCACTCGCAAGGACATCCCGTAACACCAGCATCTGGATCTAGAGCACTACTACATTACTAGGCCTCTCTCTATTCTTCCTTTTCTCTCTCTCAGTGCTCTCTCCCCTACCGGGTAATCTCAACCGATCTTCCTGGGGCCCTCATTCCGCTCTCCAGCCTGGAGGGTCGCGTTACGAGAAATAAAGTCTCCTCGGCTGGCTGGCGGGCTCCCTTTCTTCGCGGAGGGAGGGCCTGAAGGGGAAAGCAATAGAGTTTTTAAGTTTAGTAGGTACAGGACACCGGCTGGGCCAGGCCAGGCCTGTGGCTTTTTGCTGTGCAGGAAGGGGTGGGTGTGTAGGTGTAACGCTGCTCTGCTGCAACCTGCAACCTGTAATATTGTCGTCGACGGGGGCCCCGATGTGCTATCTTACAGGGGGTGTGTTCATTCTCTTGCCGCGCATAGTATGATGCCATGTGACGCGCATCTTACACATCCTGCCCAGCGAGGACAGAATGGCCTTGGTCTCTTTCCCAGCAGCCCATGATCGCTCGGCCGAGTAAACCCACCCTTCCACCCAAATGAGGACGCTGTCGAGAGCTGAGGTGGAGTGTCTGGGGGCAGCTGAAGATGATCAATCCACGTAATGCTTTGCCATGCCATGCCATGCCATGCCATGGACGAATGCATCCCTCCCCCCCTTGTCCTGATCATCGACATTGGCGGTTTTCCTCCTCCTCTCCCCCCCTTCCCTCCATGCAGATGCAGAAGAAGCGCCTCGGAACCAGGTTTTGCACAGTAGGCCCTGGCTTTCGTGGTCTAGAACCTCAGGCTGAACGATGCCCTGATTGTTATGATACAGCACATTCATCAGTGACTGATCACGAAACAGAATCCTCCCAGGACATTTACACCGCCCCCGGCTCCCGCCGACTTAGTGAAGCAGTTTTAGGCCCCGTGACGGCAGGGCTGAGCCGCCTGGTGCGCCTGGTGCGCCTGGTTGGCCTGCCTGGCCTCTATCCATCATCCAGAAAAGGGCATCGTCTCTTTGGTGGAGTAGAATGACAGACGATCGTGCCTGTCACCGAGAATAGTGTTTGGCTGGCTTCGTGATCTCCCTTCCCATTCGCTCCCTTCATCGTAGGCACCAGTGGCACCTTCACTATAAGCGGCCTCACTGGCTGCGCTTGGTGTGTCGCAGTGAGGTGGCTTTCGAGGTGGAGGCTTAAGGGGGAGACGGCGCACCACGCGAAAGCGGTGCGGTGCGGTTTGAACCCACTTTCGAAGCCGGCACTGTTCATCTGCCGAAGGACTATCGGACAAGTGTCCGCGGGAGGACCAGCGCGGTTGCAGTATAGTGACGAGCCTGGAGGGGATCCAAGGAATCCACCAGAGGGACACGGGGCAGGACATGAGACAAATCTCGGAAAAGTCCCATCATCCCGCTCGACGGTGTAGAGACGGTGGCCTGTCAAAGGGGTAAGGGGGAAGGGTGAAATCGTGGGGACGAGGGGGGCGATAGACAGGTACGCTTACAGGCACGTTTGGGCCCGGTGATGACTTCTTTCCGTCAAGTGTGGAAGAAAAGGCCTCACGAGCTTACCTTGTTTCTCTCTCCCTCCCATTTCTTTAGGTAATCTCCTCGTCCTCGTCCTCTTCCTCTTCAAGATCCAAGCAAGAATCCTTGTCGAGTCGTGACTTTCATGTGTCACTTCAGTCAGAAGCTTTCTCTTTGTTTTCACAAGCAAAACCGAAATGCCCAGAAGCAGACGGAGAGGAAAAGCTGCGCCCGGTCATGACAACGCTAGGCCGACTGGCCTGGTTTCCCCCCCCCCCCCCGTCATATATCGAAAGAGGCATTGATTATCGTCGGCTGCACAGATCTCTGCGGTCATTGACCAGGAACGCATGTCGTGTTGTTGATCTCCTCTGTTTCCCTTCTCTCCTTTGCTGCGAGCGGTTTCCGGCATAGCCCCACCCTCCTCCTCCTCTCGCCCATGTTGTCTGTGCACACGCCTTAATGAAGGAGAGCTGAGAGGGAGTGACTTCCCCAGCTGGACTGTACTGTGGTAGAGGGTACTTCCTCAGCATCCAGCCTAAGAGGTGGAGATTGCGCCAGTCGACGAGCTAGTGCAAGAGCTGGGTCTTTATTTGCACGGGGGGACAAGAAGAGAGAGTGTGCTAAAGTGTGTCTGTGCGTGTGTGTGTGTGAGGTACTGTACATTGCTTTGAGCCAGAGGGGGTTTTCCACCCGAGGACGCCTGATGAGGACGCCTGGAGTGGTTGGCGTCTTCAACAGTGACTATCTGGAGAGGCATTTCCGGGCGAGCTGGTACATTTGTGTCTAATCAGTCTGGCCACTGCGGCTGCGCCAGAGTGATGCCACTGAACAGACGAGCAAAACGGAAGAGGCTGTGACTTGACTCTCGACGCAAGGAAGGATAGGTGCCCCCTTCTCTCTTTCCCCTTGGCCCCTCCCAGCCTCGGTGTGTGCTCGTGATCGATCTCACGAGGGTCAGCTTGACTTTGTGGCTGGGCCTCCATGTGGATAGGTAATATTGGTATCATATCCCGCAGATTTTCGATGGGGTCAGTGACGCGAAGGAGTACCAAGGACTAGGATCAGCTATCCCGTCGCTCTTCCTACTCGTCGTCGTCTCTGTTCTTCTCCACCACTTACTCCCCGAGGAGAAGTGAAGGACATACCACTGGCAGACTGTAGTACCACTTTACGGTTGGCTGTGCGTTCGTTTCTTCGTCCAGAGCAGCTCATCCCTGAAGAGAGTGGTTTCTTGTCATGTGTATCGATCGTCCGTCGATGTGACTCGACTGCCAATAGGAAAACACCCATCTCGACCCTCGCTAGCATCAAAGTAGACCCTCGACAAGCTCCGGCAGACACGAGGTTCTTCTCTCCGTAGCCTTGCGCTAAGGCCTCTCCTCTTTTCCACTGTAGCAGCTTGCACGAGCAAGTCGGCAAACAGGAGGCTAGGCCAGAGGCTATCCTCGTGCCAAAGTCGATCGATTCCTTTCTTAGGCCAGGCTTGCGCAGCCTACTGTAGGTCAACTCGTGGGGACTGTGCTTCCGCTAAGGCCAGGCAGGCAAGCCTTGCTATCTTCTCTCTTGTCTCTCTCTCTCTTTCACGACACGCTCCCTCTCCTTTTCGGGCCAAAGGTCACGAACAAAAACCCTCAATAATAACAAGTTCGTCGTAAATGATGATGCCGATGTGTTCTAGGCCTTGTCCCCGCTCGAGGGTGGCTGTGCATATGCAGACTCTTGACGGGGACGGCTGTGGAGGAAGGAATCGCCGGGTGCGGCATAAGAAAGACGAATTGGTGCTGGCTGCATTCGACGGGGATTCTGGATCGGCAGAAAACCTTCCCAAAGCCTATGTGGCAGAAACAATGCGTCAAACCCTCAATGAAAGGTTACGTAGCAGAGGAGTGAAAGAAGAAAGCTGTGCAGACGGGTCAGGAAACAGCACTTTTGCCTCGCAGAGTAGAGCCCTCTTTTCTTTGGGGGGGGGGGGGGCCAAGGGGTTCTCGATGTTCAGACATAGTCATTGCCGCACCGTAGTGCCCGGTGGCCGTGACTGTCGTATGTCTCGGTCTTGTCTTGCCGCGTTCAAGCGAGTATGGGCGTGTCTCTCTCATTCCGCCCTGCCCTTACAAACGCTCGACTACACGTAAACTTGTGTGGTGCTATATTCGTCACGACGGCTGCTATAGGCAAATGGAGACAACGAGTGTGGGTTTCAAGACGAACCACATCCCGCGAACTACCTTCTTGGCGAAGGGCAGGAGTGTCCACATTGAAAGCGGTAATGGTTTCTTAATCGAGAGACAGCGTCTGTTGTGAATGTCGAAGCCGTCGGCTGTTTGTTCGGCTCTTGACTTCCTGGTGAGCTTCTGCGCCCTTGCTGTTCCTGAGAGGACTCACGTCGATACTTGTACTAGAAGGTTGGTTCGATCGAGGTGCCTGGCGATGCAGTAGTAATTATGCTGACACAATCTCGTCTATGGAAACAGCATTCATGACAGCAACCCGTGACAGGGCCAAGAATCAAGCCTTCCTCTTCCAGGACTGCCCGGGCTCTGCGCAACCCCTGTTTATCCTCCCAACCGACGCTGGAATCCTCGAGCCTGACGTCCGTCGGAGAATGACTTGACCCGACACGACGGGACTGGACACGACGGCGGAGGAGGAGCGAGCGAGACGTATACAACCGAAAAAAGAAAAGAAGGAAGTGTTCAATCGACACACGAAGGCCAAGACCAGGAACGCTAGCGTCCTTGGTTGGGCCCTCGATCTTGGGCGTCGACAAATGACGAATGAAGAGAAGAGCGTGAACATAAGATCATTGGTTCAATACGCAAAGGAAGAAGAAGAAAACACAAAAAAATCGAAATAATGTTGATTGTTGATAATGATGATGAAAAGTTCTCTGGTGTAACTTAGCCTTTAAAAACCCCTTGCAAGCACTGTTGGCTCTGGTGATTGTTTCCTTCCCACTTTGGTGCCTGCAGTAGAACATTTCGGGCAGGTAGGTGGTTGCTAGCAGCTCTGGCTCCTGCCCTCTCTGCAAGACAATCAAACAGGCTGTTGTGCGTGTATCGGGTCTATTCTCTAAGCTATTGGTGGTTCCTGGAGAGCCTCCTGAGCCATTCATTGATGCTATAGTGTTCTTGGAATATGATGAACTCCCTTCAAGGGGTTGAGTTTCCCCTCTCGAATGCTACGGGAGGCCTCTTGCATCACCCCGATGACGGGAACATCTCCCAAAAGCCAATCTCCATCTTTTTTGGTCGAGGTCAGCAGCAGCGTCACTTGAAGAGCAGTCAGTCGTAGCAGAAACTCACCTTGGTGGCGTGAATGAATATCTTGACCAGCTCCTCTACTCGTAAGGTCGATTGCAACACTGCGTGTCTCTCGAGTAGGTCTGCAAACCACACACACACACAGACACAAAGCCACGTAAGAAATCAGCCCCCATGCATTCTTCTTTTTTCCTGACTTGAGGGAGTGGAGGAGAAAAGAGACTCACCCGAACCAATTTTGACTGCCTGCACGTAGTCATCTGCGATATAGTTCTCTATCCAGTCCCAGTACCGGTTTCCTTCTCTCTTGGTTCTCGTGTCGCCGTGGAGCATCTTTGCCACGGCCCCGTAGCCCAGCAGACAGGGGGCAAGGGCGACCTGTAGCGCGAGCCAGTCTTCCGACTGCCCGATGTCCAGGACGTATCTTTGGAACGACGAAGAGTCAGCAGGCATGGCCAATGATACCAAGAAATACTTGAAAGGGGAAAGAATACCTGGTGTAGGCCGTACAGGCCATCTTCTCCTCAGTCTTCCCCATCTCCTCCAGAGAGATGCCAAAGCCTTCACAGTACGTCACATGCAGACTCGTTTCCCTCTCGATGTGTAATACTATCTCAGAAGCCTGCCACACCCAAGGTCAGCAAAAGAAGGAGCTATATCCGACAATATTGAGACAAGAAGACCGACAGCTTTGATGTCTGCCATATTCTTCGCCTTGTAGGCTGCCAGGGCATTGGCACGAGCAAAGTGTATCTAATTTTTGGAATTTGCAATCAGCCACAAGTCTACGATGCAAGCCCAGATTGAAGACCAGCTGGGAGGCAATTCGTGCTGGGGAGAGGCGCACCAAGTACAGGTAGTCCTGCATAAGATAGCCCTTGAACGACTCCAGCGGCAGAGAACCATTCCCCATCGCCATCACGAAAGGATGGTTGACGAATCGGTCCCATACGGGCGCCACATCCGGCCGTTCCAACATCCACTCCACAAAGCGGCCACTGGGTGTTGTTGAGCATGTCAGCGAGAGAAAGAGAGACAGACACAAAAGAAGGGAGCGAGAAAGACGGAGGAGGAGGAGGAGGAGGAGGAGGAGGAGGAGGAGGGAGGCTGCTTACGGCGCAAAAGGCAAGGCATAGGTCGAATGGAAATGATTGAGTGGTCCACTCCCCTTCCCAAGGCCAGGCGCCGTCCTGATGCCCGCCTCGACATATCGACACGCCGCCCTCACCGCGTCCGGGACGCTCATGCCTTTTGCAAGGCCCGAAGCGATCGCAGCTGTATAGAGAGAGGTACGACTTCATCAGCTTCCTTTCACTTTTCCCCACCAGTGTGCACCGCCATAACAGAAATCTTTTCCGGCAGCGTCTTCGGGTTCTGAAGGAGAGGAGGGCAGCCTACTCACATGCCAACGAGCACCCCGTCCCGTGCGTGTGCCTGCTATCCCGCCACGGCGTCTCGACCCTCACGACCTCGTCCCCTCCCCTCCCCACCAACACATCAACCACAACCTCCCTCTCTGCGTCCTCCACAGCCACCCTCAGGTCCCTCCTCCGAAGCGGCACATGCCCGCCCTTGACAAGCACCCAAGCGGGCCCAAGCCCCACCAGCCTCCTGCCCACCTCCTCCAGGTCTGCAACCCCCTCGACCCGCCCAGCCTCCAAGCCCGCATCGGCAAGCAGCATCCTCGCCTCAGGGACGTTGGGCGTAAGCACCGTCGCCAGCGGGAGCAGCCTCGCCCGCATCTCCCGCAGCGCCTGGCGAGGGAGCAGCTCGGTACCCGTGGTGGCCACCATGACGGGGTCGACGACGAGCTGCCTGCCGTCGCCGCTGCGGCACTCGAGCGCTTCAGCCACGACGGACACCGATGCTGCGGACGCCAGCATGCCCGTCTTGACTACGTCGGCCCCGATGTCGTCGAACACGGCGTCGATCTGCCTGCGCAGGAACGTGGGCGGGACGTGGTGGATGTCCATGACGCCTGTCGTGTTCTGTGCCGTGAGGGCGGTCGTGGCTGTCATTGCGTAGACGCCGTGGGCGGCGAGGACCTTTTGGTCGGCCTCGAGACCTCTGAGGGAGGGAAGGAGGAGAAGGACCTTCATGTGTGAGCAAGTTGTTACTTGTACAGAATGGACACTCGATTTTCTGTTTTCTTTGTTGGGGGTCGTGTGAATACTCACGCTCCGCCGGAGCTGTCCGAGCCGGCGATTAGCAATACTTTGCCCTTGACTTCCATATTGAACAAGAGACTTATTGATTGAAGGGACCTGAAAGGAAGGTGGGGATCATAAGACCATGGGCCAATCCAAAGCAAATATCATATAGAAATATATACGACAGTGTGTGTGTGTGTGTGTGTGTGTGTGTGTGTGTGAGATAACTATTCTTTTCAATCGGCTTTTGTTGTTGTTGTTGGCCGTTGAATGAGGGGCGGGAGTGTGTGTGATGACCCAAAAGCCAAGAATGAGAACGAGCGACTTTCCACATCCTTGAAGTCGAGCAACAGTCATCACGTAATCGACCCATCTTCAGCATGATGCAGTCTCCTGATTCGGAGGGGTTTTGAGAAGGGCATTACTGATTCAGGGAACACGATCTGCGAACGTAGGGGAGGGGGGGGGGCACTCGTTATTCTTGGAAATTCTTGGAAATCTAGCGGAGAGTCTTCTCGGCCTCTCTCCGGATTGTCAATGCATGATGTCCTGTCCTGTTCCTGTCCTGTCTGCTGTGACGCCCTTATGCTCTACAGAACACCATTTCATTTGATATATCAAAACGTTAAGCATGAGCATGAGCATAAGCATGAGCGCAATCACCAACTTTGCACGCCAGTCTACGCGAGCGAGTCTGTACCTCGCTTAGAATCGCGCTCCCGCAAGTTCGTTTCAACAATGGAGGTTTCAAATAATTGTGTAAACGCCAGTGATGGGGGGTATTCAGAATCAACGCCTCGCTGCCAAATCCATCGCCGCCGCCTTGTTTTCCCCTCCCAGGCCCCCTTTCCATATGCACCAGACGCAGAAAGAATCGTGCCGTCGTCGCCATACCATTTATTGTACAAATTCATAACAGAATCACCCACACCAGACGCGCCTGTTGCTGCCGGTCCGTGCAGCAAATTCAAGTCTCTCGCTCGCAATGCCCGCACAAGTTCCCTATCAACAAGAGACAAATCGATCTTGGCCTCGAGATGGCGAGAAGCAGAGGAGAGCCCCGGTTGGCAGCGTCACACGGTGCCGCGTCGCTCCCGAGTTTCAATTTCGGCCGGGTCGCTGATGCTGCGCTGCCTCTCTGTGCCCTGTTCGTCGCCAGAGCTCGGCTCCTCGTTCTCCTCCATCATCTCATCATCGTCTTCACCTTGACTGCTCTGTGGCCACACGCCTAGCTGCTGCGATTTTGCATACCTCGCAGTAGCAAGTCTGGCATAATTCTCGTCCGTGGACTCGTCAGTCTCATCGCCGAATACGACCTCGCGAAGCACGCTCCGCTCAAAGAGCTCGAGCATGCGGCGGGCCGGAAGCCGGTAGTGGTGCGCCTCCATGAGTGCCACCACCCGCCGAAACACCTGCGCGTTGGCGAAGCCCTGAGGCTTCTTCTCCTTTAGTGTGACGAGGTCATTCCGTGCCTTGCCGAAGCGGACCGTGTTGCTCAGATCGATGAATAGGCTGAGGATCTTGTGGTTCGTAGGGTTGGGGTCCAGCTCCACGTCCTCGTCCCCGTCAAAAGCACCCGTGTGAAAGTGGTCGTACAGAGAGCTCGGGGCGCCCATGGCTTCCATCATCGAGTCCGACCGCGGCCGTGAGGGCATGGTGGGAGCTTTGACCGTCTCCGCCCTCTGCGAGTCCGGCAGCACAATGGAGGCTGCAATCTGGTGACGCCAGGGCCGCAGGGATAGAAACTTGGACAGGTTCGTCGGGACACAGAACCCTGTTGACACCCCGATGGGGGTCGTGTTCGCATCCCAGCCCAGCTCGGACAGGATCTCAAGCCCATGGACAGACCTCGAGAGCAGGCCTATCACGAAAAAGGCGGTACCGCGCATGCTCATCACCTCATGCTGCTCTGCGATCCGCACAATGTGCTCAATCACATCACAGCTCTCGAGGAAGGGAGCGCCCCGATCCATGGAGCCCACATTGCCGACGGCCCACATGCAGCCCTTGACCTTGACCATCACCTCAGGGTCGTCAGCCTGCATGCCGTGCTCCCGGATGGTGTTGGCGAACTCGAGGAAGTGTCCCTTCTGCTCCAGGAGCTTGCAGCCCTCCTCGGTCCGCGTGAGCTCACGATAAAAATGAGGAGGGACGTGGGGATCTGCCTCGGCATCAGGCTCGTCGTTCAGCAGGGTCATGCGGTTGGTTGGCTCGTCTTGCCCGTCAGCAAAGGCACGGGCGAGGCTGGCCTCCACGGTGCTAACGTAGGAGTCATTGCGCCCGAGGAACCAGTCGTCCATTTCATTTCTAATGTAGTCCAGGCCGTCCAGGTAATCGTAGCCAATCGAGGTTGACAAGAAACGCAGCAGCAAAGGTGCACCGATTTCACCAAGATGGTCTAGAGCCGGTCGGCAGCCCACGATAAACTCTAGATAACTCTTCGTGTTACAGGCCCTCTCGAGGATCTTGATCGCAGTGGCACACACCTCGACCTCCGGGTCGTAGAGCTGCTCGACGAGCAGCTGGATAGCCCACTTCGAATGGTTCGCCGTGCTCTCCTTGGGGTTGCTTACAAACTTGCGAAGGATATTCGTGGCGTAGATCCGAATTTCTTTGGTGCTGGCGGTCATGGCAGTCCGCAGCAGGACTCGAGGGTGTCCCTGGAAGCTGTAGTCGAAGCTGGAGAGCAGGAGCTTCGTCAGGTCTGGCCGCTGGTTGTACTCGAGGATGTGGTACATCATGTTGAACATCCTCCAGCGCTGGATCATCTCCAGGCCTCGCTTCTCCGCGCTCAGAACACCCAGCATGGCAAAGTAGCCCCCGCTGAGAGTGTCCGTCATCCTGTCCTTAGAAAATAACGGGACACCGGCAGTGATGCCGCTTGTCTGTGGTTGTAGTATGTCAGTCAGCTTTCCAGACGACGACAGTCTTTCTACGTGTGTTTCTTGACTCACCGGGTCGCACTGAGCCAGGCACTCAGCGATTTGTCTCAGAACTTTATTATTGGCCAGATACTCGATGCCCTGCTGTGATTGCAGGAGGGTGTGCATGAGCGCACAGCCAACCTTGATATACTTCTGCGTGTTCCGTGTACTCTTGACGTCGGAAAACCGGTATTTAAACGGGCGGTAGAAGCCCATCAGTCGCTTCATGAACTTGGAGGCCTTGTTCGCGTCATCGACCCTCTTGCCGATGGTCAGAGGACCCTCAATCAGCTTCAGGATAATCTCCCAGTTCCACTTCATGTAATTACTACTGCTCAGGACCCCAGAGTCAACCAAGAGCTGTCGAAATGCGCCCTCATCAACATGAGGCACAGAGCTGGCCGCTCTTGGCTGCTCATCTTCCAACGCAAGACCTGCGGTCATCTGGCTCAATGATAAGCCAATGCCGCTCGGCGCTGACGGGGTGGATCGGTAGAGCGTGCGGCTGACGCTGCTTATTTGGTAGATCAGGCTCGTGGCGACAAAATGCGACTGGTCGTGGAACCGGACAGCCTGGGAAAATAGATCTGGCAGGAACTGCAAGTTGCTGCTCCACGAGGTGGGCAGAAGGCGACTACACAGCCTGAGGACCTCGCCCAACAGCAAGGTCGACTTGCGCTTCATGGTCTCCTCTTCGGCATTGCGTGCCAGGTTGAGCAGCGTGGAGACCAGGTCCGCCTCTATCAGGATGGCCAGGAGCAGGGCCGTGTAGTGGTCCACAAAATTCTGCTCAGCGTTGTCGTCCTCCACCTGAGCCTGTGCGTTCTTGGCCTCTGAGGTTGTCGGTTTGAGGGTGTTGACCCTTCCATATGTCGTCAGCCTCCTCCCGGCCAAGAACGGCGTAGCCCACGCAGGAGACTTAATCCGCAGTAGGGAGTAGAGAAGGACAATGACGATGTCTCGTGCTTGTTGGTTGGGAAGCATAAGACTTGCGATGAGCGACCGAATGGCGCGAAAATTGTACATTGACAGGTACATAATACCAGGCCACGTCCTGAGCGCCGAAGAGATGGCCTTGGAGTTGTTCTTCAGTATGGTCTCGTTGGAGAGGAACGCGTCAGTGAAGACGTTGAAGATGACCTCGAGGTCGTAGCCGGGGCGGAGATACTTTCGCTTCTGGGGGGAGTCGAGCAGAAACAGGTAGGCAGTGATCAGACTCTCTGGAGCCTTGTACGAGCCCTCCGTCAGGGCATCACAGATGACCGCCAGGCCACCAGAGGCAAGCAGCAGCTGTGGGTCTCGGACGAGGATCTCGGCAAGCGTCTCTAGGCAGATGGGCCGAAGCCTGTCGTCGCCATGTTCCGCGATGGAGGCGACCGTCCTCACGACGGCCCTGGACAGCTCGCGAATACCATCCTTGATGTCGAGGAATGCACGGACGAACTTCAGCGCCTGTTCCCTCTCCAGGTCCGCTTTCTTGTCTTTGATGAGGGATGAGATGACGACGTAGTCGGTGTTCAGAGTACGGATTTTCTTGAGAGACGACCTGTCGGACATGGCGTAGCGCGTCATGCGATAGCCCGCAGCTACGACCTCCCTGCTCTCGCTCAGCAGCATGACCTGCATCCTCAGGCCGAACACAGACCACATCAGGTCGTACTTCAGGTTGGGATAGTTTTTGAAGAGATCGACGAGGGCGTTAGCTTTGGCGACATAGTACTCGGGTGTCAACCCCTCGACCTCGAGGGCCTGCAGCAGCTCGCCGAGGCGGAACGTGGGGTCCACCATCATCTCGTCGAGGTCGGAGCCAGCGCCGCTCCTCGACGCGCTCTGTGGGGATCTGGTATTTCGTAAGACGGAGGGAAGGTCGCCAGCGGGTCTGGTCGGTGTGATGGGGGCGGTCTTGGGTTGTTGCTGCAGCAGCTCGATGCGCTGCTTGAGCTTCCTGATGCGGGCATAGGAGGCGTTCAGCTCGGCCTCGACCTTTGCCTTTTGCTCCCTGACGTGTTTTGGCTTTTTGGTGTTGAGGGCCTCGAGCATGTTCTCGCTGCCCTCCTTAATCTTGTTCTCGCGGGCCAGTTCGTCGCGTAGGTCGGCGAGGAGCTTGTCGGAATCGGAGGCGTCCCTGCTGGTCGTCTCGTTGAGTGGCGCCAGGCTGTTGTAGACGTCCAGTCTTGACCCCGCCCTGGAAGGACCCAGTTGACTCCGCAGGTCTGAACTGAAGCTGCCTGGGCCGGCAACAGACGAGGGGTTGAGGCTCGCACCTCGCGGGACGAAACTCAAGTTCGATGACGACATATTCCGACCGCCATTGGCAGCCCCCGGGGGCTGCAGATTACTGCCATCGCCCTGATCGAGACTCGGCCGCGGCCTGGCTAAGGGGGTAATCGTGCCTGACGAGGACTGCGGGCTGGTGAAGGCCTTCTCCTTGTCCCTCTGCACAGCACTCAGCGCTGGGCCTGCCGAGGAGCTCAAGGGCCCGTCCATGAGTCCTCACAAGGGACGATCACAGCCGCCCCTGCATTCGATATATCCCTATGCCATCCAAGAACGGGATACTGCTTCTCTTCTTTCTTCTCTTATTCTTCTTATTCTACTATCTGCAGCGGTCTATCGCAATCTTGAAGCGACGGCGGCCCGCAACACGCGCGAAGGAAGGGGAGGAGGACCAGCGAGAGGCCTCAGCTCGTATCTGGATAGGTCTGGAGGGAAGGCGAGAGGCTAGACGGTCCTGTAGGTAAGAAGAGAGGGCAATAAAATGGAAGCAGCAAGCCAGCTCCTCAAGAGTTCTGGTGCCAGAGTCTGAAAGAGAGTCGTCGATTGTTGACAGGATGGTGATGTTGACCAGCAAAGTGGGTACTTGGGATGGAGGGAGTTGTCGTGGTGGAGGGGAAGAGGAGATGGATGTTGGTCCAGCTGGACGAGTGAGGTGAACTACAGCACAGAAAAAAGTGGGACTGCTGGACAGGGGCCTGTACCCTGACCCTCACCACATATCAAGCTGGACTACCCCTTCTCTTTCTCTCTAGATTCTTGATCTCACTCAAAACTCACCTTGATTCTTGCGTGAACATTTATATAATTGGCGAACTGCTTTCTTTCTTTAGCTTTCCCCCTTCCACAATACAAGATAATAGACAATTTGAAGGGAAGGGTTCAGGATATTTCATCTCCTGAAACATGTACAGTAGTAGTACGTATTTGAGTAAATAAAGTACTTCGTAAATAAGTAATCAATATGGGAATACCAGCACTAGATAGATACAAGGCGCTCCCTCCTAATCATGACAACATTTGACCATGTCCTGTATTTTACATAATCTTGTGGTACTACATACTTTTCAAACACTGCCACTGCTTTTTCTAATTTGCTTAAGTAAGTACTTATGCAGCTATGCTCTATCTATGTCAAGTACTTGGTCGGTCAATCCCCTGTCTGTAGGGCAGATGCATCATAAAAGAATAATGGGACTCTCCATATGTGCTTGATGGACTGGTGGCATATGCATGATATTGACAAGTAATGCTCAGAGTACTTTGACAGGACAAGTACCCTACTTTCACATACGTTTTGTGCACAATCCCCTTATCTAGCCTTTACAGCTGTGGGTGAGATTCTATCTGTTGGTCATTCTTTTTGAAAGTGAGAATAGATAGTATCTGGTTCGGTCGTACGATGAAAGCCCTTCCACCTGGCCACAACATACTATCTACGCACGGTAGTAATCATGACCCGCCCTCCCGTTACATTGGATTTCCACCCCCGCAAACCCTCGATCAGAAATCGGCACCATACTACATAAGTTTCCTAGGGCTGCCTCTATGTATGTGTTTCCCCCCTCTGTGTAACCTCATCTCGCCCGCGCAGAAGGGAACCAGCATAAGTCCGCATCGCTTGTTCGATGCAACCGTTCCCGCATTGCAGATTTTGAGGGGAAGAGTGAGACACGCGGCACATCTCGCTCCGCCAGTGGAGGATGTGACACGAAGAAACAAAAGAGAAGAGGCCCATGTGTCTCTCCCATCCTTCCTCGTTGATTCCCCACATTTGTCTGCCCTGTCGTTTTTGGGGATTTCTGTCACTTTTTTCTTCTTCTCTCTTCCTCCGGTTCTAACAGAAGGCGTCGGTTGGCTTTTGCCTTGTGACAAATGGTCGAGGCTCTCGGCGACTTCCGGTGCAGTAAAGTTTCTTGCAGCGCTGGCTGCCGCTGTGGGTCCGGGCCGGCCACTGCCACCGCAGGTCTGAGCCGCCCTCCGATGAGCCCAGCGAAAGGCGCATCTGCCCATCGTTCCTCCCCCCCCCCCATGGTTCCCCCATACTGGGAGACTGACTAGGCCCCATTGCTACTACCAGAAGAGGGTTTGCAGACAGGAATACATAAGTATCAACCTCCTCCTCCTCCTTTATAGTCACCCCTTTGACCAGATTCCTGTTGAGAAAACATCTTTCATCATACTCTTGCTCTTTCATCCTCAGGATATCTACTATCTGCTCTCTTCTGCTGCTTTCCATCGTGACATTTGTTCTTGAGCACCTCTACCTCGCCGGCCCGTGATTTAAGATTTCAAAAAACTCTTGCCTGCTTTGCTTATCTACCACTCACCCACCCCTCTTTCCTCTCTACACTTCTCAACAAAACCACCATAATGCCTAGACTCGCATCTGCCAGGTACGGAAAGGACAATGTCCGGGTCTACAAGGTCCACCGGGACGAGGCAACCGGCGTGCAGACCGTCACCGAGATGACTGTGACCTGCCTGCTTGAGGGCGAGATTGAGACATCGTGAGACTTTCACCCACCCGTCCATCCAATTTCTCCTTTTGAGACTGACAGCCAATTACCAAAGATACACCAAGGCCGACAACAGCGTGGTGGTGGCCACAGACTCAATGAAGAACACCATCTACATCAAGGCCAAGGAGCACCCCGTCAACCCGCCCGAGCTCTTCGCCAGCATCCTGGGCCAGCACTTCATCGACACCTACGCCCACATCCACACCGCCTATATCAAGGTCGTGGTCCACCGCTGGACGCGCATGGTCGTCGACGGCAAGCCTCATCCCCACAGCTTCTACCGTGACGGCCAGGAGACCCGCAATGTCGAGGCCACCGTGAGCCGGTCTAGCGGCATCGCCCTGCGCAGCGGCATCGTCGGCCTGACCGTGCTCAAGAGCACGGGGTCGGCTTTCCACGGGTTCGTGCGGGATGAGTTCACCACCCTGGGCGAGACCTGGGACCGCATCCTCAGCACCGATGTCGACTGCGGTTGGTCGTGGAACACCTTCAAGTCGCTCGCTGCTGTTGAGGAGGCCACGCCCAAGTTCGACGACGCCTGGGAGAAGGCCAGGGAGATCACCATGAAGACGTTTGCCGAGGACGAGAGCCCCAGTGTGCAGAACACCATGTACAAGATGTGCGAGCTCATCCTGGCCGCCGTGCCGGACGTCGAGCGTGCCGACTACTCGCTGCCGAACAAGCACTACTTTGAGATTGGTAAGTCATTGTCATCGTTTTCGTGGTTCTATTCACAGCCTCGAGCAGGCGGACGAGTCTGGCACATGCTAATAGAGATGCATCAATATAGATCTCAGCTGGCACAAGGGTCTGAAGAACACCGGCAAGGACGCCGAGGTCTATGCTCCACAGTCTGGCCCCAACGGTCTCATCAAGTGCGAAGTTTCTCGATCGTAAACTCGAGAAGAAGAGGAGGGCCAAGGTGCGGGGCATTGATGAGGTGTGGAATTGCTTAGAGGAATCATTCATAGAGAGAGAGAGACAGAGAGATAAAGAGAAATGGAGGGAGGAGGGAGGCAATTTGGCGCTCTAGTAGTGATGCAGGCTTGGGCGGGTCAATTAGATTAATGGACCGCGAGGGTCTGGAGGCCTATGTGTGCGCGCACAGTGGAACGCGCGCAACTTTGCAACATCGCATGATACCTATTTAGCTTAACATCAAGATTTTCTTTGAAATGAATACACTTGTACACATACATATACATCATTGGCAATACTCGGTCCCTCAATTTGGTGTGAGAGACAAAATTGTGAGTCTATGCCAGCTCCTGAGGTTCATAAAGAGGACTAGCATACTTGATCAGTAACAAGAGAAAGATATGCACACTTTTAGCAGTGGGCCATGTTACAGCAGATCTTCCCAATAAGAATATGTGGTCTCAACTAAAAGTCCTCCCTGGGAAGTTGCAAATTTCTTGTAGCAGAAGCTTGCCTTCATGTGTGTATTACCTTCAAGTCTCCAGCAAGGTCAAGCATCTCTTCTTGTCAACGAAAAGATACAGGACACATAGATTGCCATCATCACAGCCAAGAACTCCGCTCATGCCAGATTTTGTTCTGCGTAATTTGCCGACATGCCTAGTCTCACATATACAGAATTTCTACACCGGACCCTTTCTTTCTCTCTCTCTCTCTCTGTGTGTGTGTGTAAGCCCACCCTCGCAATCATTCCATTTCATATCCTCCTCTCCACATCCGCCTCCCGTATCCTCCTCGCAACCGCCTCCCACCCTTCCTCGCCAACCTTGCGCCCGCCGAACCGCACCAGGTTCTCCTCATACGGGTGGACCTCGCCCTCAAACGCCTTCAGGCGGGCCAGCCTCTTCTTGCGCAGCCTGTTCTTGGGCAGCATGCCGCTGACGGCCTTGCGCAGGATCTCGCCGCCGCCAAACTTGTCCATCAGCACGTCCATGGTGACCTGGCGCAGGGAGCCGGGGCGGGTGTTGTGCCGGTAGTAGCTCTTGCGCCACTTCTTCAGCCCCGTCGTGTACAGGGCGGCGCAGTTGGTGACGACCACGTAGTCGCCGCAGTCGGTCGAGGGGTCCCAGATCGGCTTGTGCTTGCCCATCAGGAGGGTGGCGATGCGTGAGGCCAGGCGGCCTAGGGGTGGAGGGGTCACGTCTTCGGGGGGGGACTTGATGGTGGAGAGCGTTGGGTGGGGGGTGGAGGCGGAGACGTGGTGCCAGACACGCGAGTAGGCAAGTCGGGTCTAAGAAAGGGGGAGGGGGCGGGCGTCAGCTTCGTCCTGGTGGTGATTGTTTGCTCTTGGGCATAGGGAAGGGCGAGAGAGACAGAGATAGACAGACAGACAGAGAGAACTTACAATACCGACGTTCTGGGACATGTTGGGCGGGTGTCACGAGGGGTTGGCGCCCCTCATCAACGCGGAAAAAGGCTTTACCAAACGGTCCTCGGGGGGGAAGAAGCTTCAGAGAGGGACATGGGTCGAGCTTTTGTGCTGTCCCGTCTGCCTTGTGGTTTTCGCTGGTAATATGCTGGTCGTCATCGGCGTCGTCAGTTGAATCGCGTTCTCGATGTTGGCCCGGCCCAAAAAATTACAAGATACAGTGTTACATAATCAAAGCTGGTTCCACTTCAAGCCCACCGACCCACCCCTGTCAGTCTCCGGTTCGGCTTCGGTTCAGGGCTCCGGAGGACGATTTCAAATCAGCAGTTGCCAGTCCAAAAAAGACCACCAAATCTAGGTGAGGAGTAGAGAGACAGAAAAAAGGGTATCGGCTTGTTTATAGCATATAAGAATCTGCTTCATACAACCTCCCAAATGAGCCGGAGTACTCGCATACTGGGCGGACTATCTGGCATTGCACTCATCGGTTCCGGCGCATATTTCTCTTACACCACCACCAGCAGACGTGCTTCTTCTCTCCCCGTCGTTTCTATTCCGCAAAACAAAAATTCCACAACAGCAACGACAATGACTGTAAATAACAAATTTGAGGTTCGTGAGTCTGGTTATTTTTTATTATTAAACAATAAGCAAGAATCAAAGAATGAAAGAATGCATGGCTAACGACTCGCAGACGCTGTTTGCCGTGCCCATGCACTGCGAAGGCTGTGTCAAGAGTGTCTCAGAGTCTCTGTATAAACTCGACGGTATCTCGAATGTCGAGGCCAACCTGAAGGACCAGCTGATCAGGATAGAGGGAACCGGTATGTCCCCCCTCTACTCTCTATTCCTCTGCCCCACGACGGGGTTTTACTGCTTGCCATCCTTCCCGTGGTAATTATATCCTGTTTAGAGGAACTTGCCATGAGCAGGAGGGTGAAAACTGCGGCAAAAGATGTTTGGGATGGGCCAAGTCCCTTCAGTCTTTTGGAGGAGAAACAACAATGGCAGCCTGAAGAACAGATTCCGTTTCAAAAATGGGCGGCAAACTTACTGATACGCGCCCGTCATCAAAATTACAGCACCACCATCAGCGATCGTTGCGACTATCGAGGCCACAGGGAGGGATGCCATCCTGCGTGGATCGGGAGGATCAAACAGTAGGTCAACCTTGTGCTCTTATGCAGACGTTACAGCCTATGACCTTGTGGCTGGAAGTGTTTTTCTTTCTCTCCTCCAGCTGTCAAGTCTTATGATTGGACAGGTTGAAACGAGGCGCTGTGCGGTCAAGACTTGCCTCTCATTCTTTCTCTTGCACAGCTTCCTTACGAAATCCAAATGGATCTTTTCCCCGCAGATGAGGGATGTCACAGTTCACAGGTTCCTTCAGACTAACACAAAGTTCACAGGCGCGGCCGTAAGCATCCTGGAGACCTTTGACCAGAACAGCCTACATGAGGCGGTCCCAGACGACGGCAAGAAACGTGAGGTCCGCGGCCTTGCCCGCATGGTAGAGGTCTCGCCCACCGTGACCCTCGTCGACCTCACCGTCCGCGGCGTCGAGCCGGGCACCTACCGTGCCACGATCCGCGAGTACGGCGACCTGAAGAACGGCGCATCATCGGCAGGGCCCGTGTGGAAGGGCGGTGACCTGACGACCGAGCAACAGCAGCAGCAGCAGCAGCAGCAGGCCAGAGGGGACCTGGGAACCGTGGAGATCGGCGCCGACGGGCGGGGTGCGGTGTTCCTGGACAAGCCGTTCCAGGTGTGGGAGGTCATTGGGCATGCGTTTGTGGTCACGCGGCAGGATGAGGGCAAGGACCACCCGCCTCTGCGGAACGACGAGAACACGGTGGTGGGGGTGATAGCGCGAAGCGCGGGCATGTGGGATAATGATAAGACGGTGTGCTCGTGCACGGGGAAGACACTCTGGGAGGAGAGGAAGGACGAGGTCAAGAAGGGTATGCTGTGATCTTGCAGGAGCCAAGATTTACCATTCTTTCAGGGTGGGGGAAAAAACAGGGGGGGGGGGTAGAGGGAATCGTAAGTTTGATAGGTCCATGTCACCTGATTTGGTTGCTGTGATGGCCAGACACTGCGTCGGAAGCGCGCTGTGATGTGCTATTATGTGACTGGGCGCGCATATTCTGGTCGGACGGGCAAACATGCAGTCAGCAGAGGAAACGTTCACCAGAGTATGTGGCTCGGTATGGAATACCAAAAGTGGACAAAGCCCGCTATGGCTCATAGGAACTCTGCTGAGTTCGTTCATCTCTCCGATTTATTCCTGTGGTTGATCATCGTTAATTGGCCAACTATACAACGACCTGATAAACTATATCACCAAAGGTTTTTCTTTATTCCCCTCTACACTTTTTGGCACAGAGGAGAGAGTAATCCCCACGCACTCTTCCCTCTCCATGAGATTGCAACGTGTTGGATGGCACCCCATACAGAAGGGGTGAAGGAGAGGGGGGGGGGGGACAGCTCGGCGCAGCTCGGGCGTTTCGGATGTCGCGGGCTTTCCCATGCTCAGATCCTCCTGAACAACATGTGAACTGGAACAAGGCGTAGTCGGCATGGATCCGAAGATTTATTTGCCGGACCTACCTCTGGAGCCCTTTTTTTGAAAGATGGATGGCAGGCCCCACAAGGAGTTGCGTCAGTATACCCGAGTTCTTTGGCAGATACTTACTTTTCAAAGATTTTTGCTGACGGAATCAGTTCAGAACATTGAATATGGCCAGATACTGTGCACACCCAACCGGGTAGGCGGCTTGTCATGGAACCATAAATCAGATGGGATATTCTCTGAGCCCAGACTTTTACGAGCGTAAGCCCGAGTATTCAATGTTGTGGCACCATATTTGACTGCATGTGTTATTGCATGTCTTCTCTTTTTCTCTCTCTCTCCACAAAGGCGGCGCCTAGAAAGTATCGATGCTTCTTTCAAGCATCGCCCATCTTCTGAACTCTCGGACGGAACCAAGGTTGCCGGTCACCAGGCTTTATGCGTCGTCGTCATCTCCAGGCCGATGATGGGGCCGGGAACGCCCCCCTTCTTTTCTCTCTGTGTGATGGTCAGAACTCACATACCCCAGGGTGTACTAAGCGACCAGGGCCATCACGGCAGCCGTCACTGGGTCAGTTGAAGAGGGCCAGGACCTATGATAACCCCCCCCCCCCCCAATTTGGCCATACGCAGTGTTTCGACGGCTGGCTTGCTGGTCGGGTGGGGTTCCTCATAGTTACATCCTCTAACGACTGTATACTGTGGTAGCCAGTCAGGGGTCCTCTTTTATCGGGTTCATCGACGATGAAGCTCTCCAAAGAAGGAGAGAAAGGGGGGGGGGGGAAGGAAAAAGAAAAGAGAATTTTTTTTTTCGTATAACTCGTGGCAGATCTGTCGCAGGAGGTAATGCACCAGACCCGGTTCAGGTCCACATATCGCAGACCGGAAGACGTCGCTCCCAGTGGCACGACCCTGGGCATGATGAGACGAAGGGCCCGCACAAGGTTCGATCGAGGGGGGGAAAGGGTGCGGGAATGTTGCCTGTCGTCCCACCTCTTGTCGTGCACCTTATTTCAAAGCCAAGACTTTGTGGCAGATGGCTTTTAAGCTGGGTCCAGCGGGTTTTGTAGAGGGCCATGTACCGTTTCGAGCCGACGAAGGGAAGTTTCAAAAGACTGGTCCTCTGACGTAAGAAGAGACGAGAAAGGGAACCTCGTATTGAACATGTTCTCGTACCCAGGCAACACCTTTTTAATATCAAGAAGTACAGACAGGAGAAGAAAAAAAAGAAGACAAAAAAAATTGAAAGAGAAAGAAAAGAAGGAAGAAGAAATAAAACCACAGGTGTACCAACACATCTCAAGGAACCCCCTAGTCATTGGGTTGACATCGATAGGCGGCATAATTGTGGTGAGTGAGGGCTTTCTCGAATTATTAAAGAGATGCCTTGATGAATATCAGATCTGAATAATCTTGCATAAATATAAGAGGGGGAACTATAGTAGTGGTGAACGAGCTGCAGTCAAAAATAGAGTGAGAGAGATGGAGAAAAACGTGCTTTGCATGCAAGCTAAAGTACCGAAAAGCACTACCTATGGTATGGTAGTATTGCGGGATGTTAGTATTCCCCCTAAGCAGGCCCCCCGTCAGTCAGACAAGGCTGGGTTGCAAGCGGACAGGACGGCCCCACAGGGGATTAGACATGGGCAGCCAAAGTAGTAGTGATATGTACTAAGTACCACAGTAGTAGTGTTATTAGTAGTAGTAGAACTACTTAATATGTAATGATGAAGTATAACATCATGCAGCAAGGCCTGCAAGACACATGGTCTCTTGAACCAGCAAAAGGTTTTCCTCCGAGGGTTCGGGATGTAGGTAGCGATTAGTGCATGCGCGTATTCGGGAGAATATCTAATTTTGTACTGTACCGCGACCCTGTTTCGAGGTGTGTATGCATAAAAGAGTTGTTTTCTTCGGTCCTTCGGATTGTAAGATACTGATGTGTTTTTGCCCTTCAAAGGGTTCGGGCAAGCGGGCTTCTATTTCAGCCCGCAGCCGCGGAGATGATCAGTGTGTCAATGTTTCCAAGACGCGGCTCGTCCTATGTTGTTGGCTGAGTTTCGTGCCTCTTCTCGGACGAGGCTACTCGCGCCAGCCTGGCCTAGGATCTCTGTCTCTCTACCACTGATCTTCAAGAGAGAAGGCGGAGAGGAGAGAGAGAGGAGGAGAGAGAACAGTCACATGCAGGGCGGACAGATACTTCATGACACGGCATGGCATGACATGACCGTGATAGCACATCACATTGAACGTACCGAAAATGGGCTGTGATATCGGCTTGTCACACTGCATCTGTTGGTCAAGATGCGCGAATCACAAAGAATAACGATACCATGCTTCACCGAGCGGTGAGTTCGAAAGCAAGAAAGTGGTGGCCAAAGAACGCCGCCCCAAACTTGAATCACGGTCTGTTTATCTGGTCATCTCATCGTCACGAGGACTGAAGAGACATCATCATCGCCTCTTGGAGCCACCAAAGAAAAAGAAGGTGAGACCCAGAAGGGGTGGTTTTCCGCCTTGGCACTGAGACGAAGTGAGCATCCCTCAGGAGCAAAAAGAAGGGGAGTGGGGAGGGGGCAAGGCGCTTAAACGACATGCAAGGCTGGGCTGGGCTAGCCAAACATTGGTGAGTCGACACGACAAAACTCGATCGTGTGGGTTGAGGCAGACGAAAAGAGAGAGGGAGAGAGGTTGGGGAGACAAAAAGAGCTAACTAGACCCCGATTCGAGCAAAACTCGGTCCGCCCGGGGGGCGGCCTAGGGTGTGCTGGAGCGGGGTTCTGGGGCCCGCCTGAGAGAACGTTGACCCAGTGAAGATCTGACCCTAGCCGCCGTCAGCAGCGCCTCGTGTGCGAGCCAAGGGTCCACCAGGCGAATCACAGCGCCAGGACCACCCCCAGACGCTGGGACTACTTTGATGCACCGAGACTGGGGGGAGGCGTTCGATTTGCGAATAATCCCCGCCATGCCTGTGACAAGGCCTGGTATATCGGCCTGGGCTCTTCATGCTGATGCCAACAAGGTACTGTGGTACCTGATGAGGGCAAAAAAAAAAAAAAAAAGAGAGAGAGAAGAATAAGTGCGCCTCGCATTCATCCATATCAGATTGGCGCAGTCCGTGTTACCCACCTTGCCCCCCAATGCAAGAGATCAACGTCACAGATCATCAACGCCATGTGCAAAATGATCTGACAGGTTACTCCTCCTGTCGTGTAGCAGAAGATCCTCCTCTGCCTGTCAAAAGAGAAAAGACATGGCATGGGCCCTCGGATTGGCGCAAGCCACGGACAAGGCTTACATTAATCGTAGAGTTTCTGAATCATGCCAATCTGATTTGCCCTGCATCGTTTCCGCTCGTCAGATCAAGGGAACGAGATAGGATGAATTGGGAAGGATTGAGGGGATAGACTGGCGCAGTGTGGCCTCGCCAACATTCGATCTGGACATTAGAAACATACGAGGTTGTTTGGCGTTTACGGGATCATGCCAACTCGAGTATGTCTATGTAAATCTGAGGTTCAGGGCGTGTGTGCGCATTTCTTGGGACGGTCACAACCTTAAAAACATATAGCAAGTAGGCAAGACTGTGACTGATCGCTTGTGTGACTTCCACAGTCAGGGCAAGCCACGTCCAGCTTCAATTTACTGCTGTAGGTACGTAGTTTTGTTTGAAAAGGCCCATTCAACTTGTTCTCGGAGCGATCGTGCCGCTGGTGAAGAGGCGTAGATGTTTGAAACCGAAAAGGTTGCCTGCCTTGTAAATACGGCGAGTTAATTCTGGTAACATGCCTCGTGATGTATTGCATGACCATGTTAACCTATATGCAGGTGCTATTCAGATCTGTATAGGCACAGGAGGCATCGTATATACTCCTCCCCCAGCTAGGCACTGCGTGCGTGCTAGGGGTACCCGCGTCGCTGGGTCCTTGGGGTACCATAAGGGCTTCAGGGCCTTTTAGTGGGCTTATAGGCTTCTAACAATTTTGCACCCCTGACCCCTGGTGGCGGGCAACTCCTGTACGAGGCCCCTGTCCGGGTCAACCGCAGAAGCCAGCAGCTGTTTGAGTGCACAGGCATCACCCGGCGTTTTACTTCCGAGAATGGTTATGATGGTGTTTGAGGGAGGGCAAACTGCGGCTTCAGGGGCGGAGCCATACTAAGGTGCTCAAACAGTACTTGAAAATTTAGTATGACCCAGGTTGCCCCCCCCCCCCCGCGCCAGCAACTTGTCTTTTTCTCTCTTTTTCCCCCCAAGTCTGATGTAGGTTCCACGTTCGAGAAAGATCTACACAAGCAACAAAGATCATCACTAGTTGAAGGCGTGCAGAGAAGGAGAGAAAAGGAAGGAAAAGAGGAGAAACAAGTCTAGGTTTCTCTAGAGCCCTGTCTGTTTTCGACAGTCAATCCCAGCGCTGCTGCTACAGACGTGCCACATTCTGTGCACCACGACACCACGAATCATCCCCGGGCATAAACTTACGAACAAGGACAAGGAATCAGACCTGTTACGTTGACCTTTATTCCCCTTCCTTCCCTCGCCCTTCTCTTCTTTTCTCTCTTGTCTCTCTTGATTCTCCAATCCCACCTCATTAGCTGGCCGTGCCATCCTTCTTTTCCCTTTTCTTTTCCCCTTTCGACCTCACCCGCCAGAACCCCAAACCCCCCACCACACCACGGTCCTTATCGATCCATCTAAACCCCTGGTTAGGCGCTGGCTTCTCGCCCACCATCCACTCATTTGCCCCCGCAGGCTTATTCTCATTCGATGAGAGGCTCTTCCACCTGCGACTCACAACGAACCATCTTCTATACCAGCTCGACTAATAACCCAACCAAGCACCAACTTGTCAGTCCTTTCCGCATCAGCTCGAACAGACAGCCCACACTACGTCCAGATCAGACGAGCAGCTTTTGGTACCTTGCCTCGCCCTGGGATTCGCAGCTCGGCTGAACTACACTGAAACAGTCGAGGCCCAACACACACACAAAAGAGAATCATAAGAGACGAGACAGGATAAGAAGAATTTCAGGACAGGCTTCCTAGCTTCTTTCTTCCCTCTCTCTAATCTTCTCTCTTTATCGTTCCACCGGCTTCCTCCACACCACCTCCACGTATACTCACACTCACACTCACACTCACATTTATACTACTGCTGCTGCTGCTGCTGCTGCTGCTCCCACTACTACATCAACTTACATACTCACATCTGGTCTTGTCTGCACCCCAATTCTGCACCTCCATCTGCAATCGATACCCCGACCTCGTCACCCTGCAGATTTAGGGGGGAAATTAATCCAACACATCACATCGACCACATCGACCTTTGGACTCGAACCAGAAATATCTTAATTCTAGTCACACTCCTTCCCTCTTGGGAACGCTATCGACTGGTCCCGGAACTAGAGGCGCGCTGCCCGTACTACATACAACGACCCGGCCACCCGATCTCGCAGTCTCGCTAGTGCTCCCTCAGTAGAGAGTGAAGAAGAAGAAAAAGAAAGAAAGGAAGAAAGAGCAGACGACCTAGGCGTGCATTTATTTCTTCATCTTCTTCTCCCAATAACGAACGACCCCAGGTATATATTACTCGAGTCGTGACCCAATTCTTCGGTCGCTTAAGACGGAGTCACGCGCCAATTCGTCACTAGTGGGCTCAGCGATTGGCAACGAACAGGGCCTATATTTTTTTTATTTATTGATTTGCAGAAGACGATCTTGGGTCTGGGCGAAAGCGGGGACAACCTTGGGGCCTCCACCTGCTGCAGCTGCTTTTCCGTCACACCAACGAGCGCTGCCAGGAGATTTCGACTCAACCGACCTAATCGTTCCTTTCTTGGGTCTGGGAACCTTGCCCCGTTCTCCAAGGAAATTTCGCACACCGTCAAAAGGTCTCCTCAATTGATCTCCACGGACAGACGAGTTAGAATCCTCGTCACCTTGCCGAGAGGCTCCACCGGTCTGCTATATCTGCCCATCGCCACCCCCCACCCCTCACAGGCGACTGCTGCTGCTGCTTCTGCTGCTCAAACCTCGGCTCTGTTGACGCAGACGTTCGTTGTCTGGCACGAACGCCTGCTTCTCCAGACATATTTGTTATACTTGTCTTTTCCAACATCTTCAGACCTCAGCCTCTGAGCAGTCATGTCGTTGAAACAGGTACGTGACAGAGAACCATGGGGTAGCTGGGACGGGAGCCCAGCCGAGAGAGAAAGACGAGAGAGAAAGAAGAGGAGAGAGAGGTTCCACTGGGCCGGCGCTTGCTGACAACATTCTGCTGCAGGAAATAGAAACTTGGGTCACCGCCCTTGCGCGGTACGACAACAATGAGTTTGACGAGGCCCTTGGGGATTTCGAGAAGATCGCCGACACGTCCAAGATATTGTTCAACATGGGCGTCATCCATGCCACACTCGGCGAGCACGAGAAAGCAGTAAGTAGCGACTTCATCAAAATCTTTTGGACCTATGTGAAAACAGACGACAGGTTCTGACCCCCCATCGAATTGTACAGGTCGACTGCTACCAACGAGCGATCAAGTTAGACCAGTACCTGGCCGTGGCATATTTCCAACAAGGTGTCTCCAACTTCTTGCTCGGCGATTTCGAGGAGGCCCTAGCCAACTTCAACGATACCTTATTGTACCTGCGAGGCAACACCATGATCGACTATGCTCAGCTAGGCCTCCTGTTCAAGCTCTACTCGTGCGAAGTGCTTTTCAACCGCGGCCTCTGCTACCTGTACCTGCAGCAGAAGGATGCCGGTCTGCAGGATCTGTCCTACGCCGTCAAGGAGAAGGTTGTCGAGGACCACAATGTCATCGACGAGGCCATCAAGGAAGAGGCAGAGGTAAGCTCAGAAGGAGGGACCCCCAGGAGGGCACAACAGGCAGATGAGGAAAGGACAACAACTGACACAGGAGATTTAGGGCTACACTGTCTTCTCGATCCCCGTCGGCGTCGTGTACAGGCCGAACGAGGCCAAAGTTAGGAACCTGAAGACCAAAGACTACCTCGGCAAGGCTCGTCTCGTGGCTGCCTCGGACCGGGCCAACGCCTTTACTGGCTTCGCCGGCTCCGAAATTAAGAACGCTGGCAAGGTGGAGGTCAAGGATGATCGTCCAGCGGACAACATTTCCTTCGCTGCCACCAACCTTGTCAAGCCTGGTCTCGCGAGCAGGAGCAACGCCACGGCCCCACCGCCTCCAGGCCCCCAGGGCTCTAATGTCTTCCCGCCCACGCCGCCGCCGGAGAATGATAAACCCCGCGAGCTGCCCAGCCGGGGCGCTTCTGTCCGCAACGGACCTAAGCCGATGCCGCCCAAGCTCAATATCGACCGGGCGAGGGAACAGGGCCGGTATGAGAAGGCCATCTCGCCCGAGGACGCACGGCCGAGAGGACCACCGCGGAGCAACACCGGCGCGTCCAGCCGTAGCTACTCTCAATCCCAGAGGGGCGGTGGATCGCGGCGCTCCCCAGTGCAGGATGACGACGCCTACCCGGACGACGTGTACGACATGTACAGCGCCGGGTCCTCCCGCAGCACCCAGCGGCCGGGTGGCGGCCCGCGCCGCATGCAGTCGCAACAGCGCTACTATGAGGACGAAGAGGACGATGCCAGCGACTACGACGGCGCCTCGATCGACGAGGGCGACTTTGAGATGATGAACCCGCGACGCGGCACCGCCTCGGTGGCGGGCTCGTCTAGGGCACAGTCCAGGAAGCCTGACATCAGGAAGGTCAGGGTCAAGGTGCACGCTGACGACGTGCGGTACGTCATGGTCGGGACGGCTGTGGAGTTCCCCGATCTGGTCGACCGGATCCGAGACAAGTTCGGCATCCGCCGCCGCTTCAAGATCAAGGTCCGCGATGAGGACTCGCCCCAGGATATGATCACCATGGGCGACCAGGATGATCTGGACATGGCCATGATGACTGTCAAGTCTCAGGCACGAAAGCAGAAGTTGGACGTCGGAAAGTTGGAGGTAAGTCTGAGACACAAAGAGTCTTCTCCCACCCCCGGCCGAGGGGAGGTTTACTGGTTCTTACTGACAATCTTCTTCTTCACATAGGTCTGGCTAGAGGAGCTCAACTAATCCTTTTTCCGACGAACGGAGGCGGTGAATACAGAGAAAGAGCGAGAGAAAAACGACGATATACCCCCAGCAGAAAGCAGAGCAATGTATTCTCACGACATAATGACGGATGTATTATTCACTTCAGTTCTTGGAAACTTATAAAGAAGAAACATTTTGCTTTTAGTTTTTATTTGGTTGTGGCCTTTTCGTTTTTCCTTGTCATTTTTATTTCTATTTTTTTATATCTTTCCTTGATGGAAATTGGAAACTGGGTGTTTTCTTTTGAAAGTCAATACCGGCAACAACAAATAGCAGCAGCAGCATCGACAGCGGATGGAGCATCCTAGACTTTTGTTTAATTTGGTGAAATGGCGGATCGGTCGTTCTGTGACCTAACCTACTATACACGGTCCCCGTCGCTTCATTTGGTTGTGATCTCATTGTGCTTGTGAAGTAGTGAAGAGAGGGGGAAGAGGGTACTTTAGCCTGACGGCCGAACATGTTCCTAGATGTAAGAAATGAGAACAAAATAAGGGAGAGAATGACTTTCTACCTGTCACTTACTCCCTCACAAACAAATCAAAGTTTCACTCAAATCACAACCTCCTCCTCTTCCAGCCAACGCATTCATCCATAGTTTTTGTCGACCACCAAACCCAGTCTGGCGCACACCACGGAACAAAAATAGGACGATCAAGGGCTGTGTCAATGACATGCATACATAAATCCATACATATGTACATACCCATGGCCTAACTTTTGCTGTCGCGTTTCAGGAGAGGGGGATGGGCGCCCTGAATCGAGAAGGCCTCAGACTCGTCGGGGTTTCAGGCCGTTGTGTGGCCCTGCACTGCCTCCAGGCTCCATACACTACACCAGTCCAGGCAGACAAGGAGGAGGATAGTCTTGTCTTTCTCTCCCTCCCCCCCCCCCCTCTCTCTACTGGGAGCTTTTCGTTTTAAAACGAATTTGCACGTTCAGAACTTCGTGTGTAACATGTGCATTTAGAGAAGAAATAAGAGAAAAAGAATTTAACCTCACAACCACACTGGTGCTGGATTTTTTTGATTTCTTTTTGGACCCCCCCCCCACCCTCCACACTCTTTGCTGAAGAGATGAGAACCGCCGGGAGGGGGGACCAGGACCGATTAGGGAGGATGGGGAATGAAAAGAGTTTGGGGGATGGGAAGTGAGTGGGCTGTAGGATTGATTAGGCTGCAGCAGCGTAACGGGCCGTTCCTTACTTAGATCCCGATATCTGCAACGCTGTTTTCTCCCTACTTTGATTTAGTGCACACACATACATACCCGGATTTGGAGTTCGGCGGATGTACTTGTAACTCGTCCAATGTGGGCTGTTATGGTCATGGCGGGAGAAAGGATGAGAAGGAGCAGGAGATAGATCCTCTGTTGAAATGAAAAACCAATGCAGGCGTGTGTCATGAAGACAATATAATACAAAGAGTTTGCGGGTCGAAGGACCCAAGGGTATATAGTCTGCACTTATACATAGTAGACAAAGAGAAGAAGAAAAGTCTTGGACGAACGCTATCATGACACAAACAGATAAAGAACCATTGTGCTTGACGCCGTCGACTTAGCCTGTGCTCGTACGCCGTTTCCCTCGGTTCTCTCACAAGTCCTCCATTGACCAGTATCTTAGTAGCCATGGCACTTTCGTTACAGGACATTAGGGCCTCCCTGTGTCCTTAGTTCAGAGTATCGAACAAATAGCTGATCCTTGAAATGGGAGTGCCGTATTCCCTTCGGTCTGGCCTTGGCAAAGGCATCAATTGCCTGCTGAACCCCAAAGCCGCACCTCTCGATCAGGTAGCACACGATGAAATACCCAGTGCGGTTGTAGCCATAGTGACAGTGCACACCCACAGCGTGCTCTGCATCCTCATCCCAATGCTCCTCTTTGGCCCGGATCTCCTGCTCCTTGCGCAGCCGGTCCACAAGCACAACGAAGCGATCAACCTCGGCGTCTGTAGGTGGTATCTTGGAGACCGTTGGGAACTTGTGATACCGCACACCCGCCCTCTCGAGGCCAGCTGGGTCGTAGACAGGAGTGTCCTTGGAGATGTCGATAATATCCTTGACGATTCGGCCCCACTTGCTCACAAATTTCGCAGGCGAGTGCTCATCGTCCACCTCACGCATGGTCTTCATGGCGCGGAAGACGCCCGCTATGGACTTGGAGACGGGCGCAACGCCCTGCCACTTGGCCAAGTTCTTGAGCTCCCACTTCCCCTCCTTGTTGAGGTACTGCAGCTGCCAGCTGAGAGAGAGCCGGCCGGTGACATGCTGCGACAGGAAGTCCGCAGTGACCGATGCGAGGATATGTGAGCAGTCCTGCGTGTAGATCAAAGCATGTGTCCCTTGCGGAAGAATTACCGATTTAACGACCTTGTCCGGATGCAGCGGTTGCGAAGGCATACCGATGATTGCTGTGGCCTCGTGTGGTGTAGTTGGATCCTCGTGAAGATCCTCGTCAACGTTCTCAGTGCCTCGTCTCTTGTCTCGGCGAAAGTCTTCATCCCTGATATCTGTGATGCTCTTGATTGGCTCTGGGATCGAGGCTACGGACGTGTCAATGGGCGCGGCGGTGTCCACGATGGATTGGTGATAACCCGATGTACCATTCTGCAGAATGGAAGCCTCGGCCTTCTTGAGAAAGCTGGCAATCTTGTCGATCTCTTTGGCCGGTGTGATGTGGTCTTTGCCGCCCGCGATCAAGAAAACCGGGATATTGAGAGTGGCCCAGATGTCTTGACCGGCGATACCCCCTTTTGGTACGCCATTCTCGTACGTTGGCAGGCTACCCCACGCCATTCTTCGCCAGGTCGGTGTCCTGCTCTGACGATTAAATCGATACTGTGATCGTTTGGACTCCTGGTCTGCCCCAGCCCCAACGAATCTCCTCACGCTGGCACTCTCGATACCTCCACGAGCATCCCAGGTGCGCCAGAGGTTGAAGACTGGAGTTGGTATCCAGAGCAGCTTCCTGAAAGTTTTCACCTGCTCTGCTGTCGGGGGACCAGATGGTGGACAGATAGCAACGAGCGCCATAACATGGTCTGCCACCCTGCTCGAGCCTGGAGATGCTAGGCGTGCTGAAAGTGCACAGCCCATGCTATGACCAACCAGTACAATGCCTTGCCCTGCATTCTTGTCGCGATAACCATCGATAATTACGTCCAGCAGCTCGGTCAGCGCCTCGTTGGTATAGGCGCCCCATGTAGTCGGCGCGAGCTCCGAGACACCACATCCTGGGAGGTCCACAGCCAGACATGACGAATTGTGCGTTAGGCTAGTGAGCAATGGATAAAATTGCGCGACCGAGCCACCGAGCCCGTGGATAAACACCAGGAGAGGTAAGGGCGCCGGATCTCGTGGGAGCTCGTCCAGGCGTGCGTGAGGCTTGAAGAAGACGCGCACAGCCGGATAAGTGAAACGGCTCGTGGTAAAAGTCTTTATCTCCGAGTTGCTCCTGAGCAGGTCAGGATCTGTGGCTTTGGCATCTAGGAAGGTTGTTAATTTGTGGCATTCGTCTCCAGGAGGGGGCAGGTGATGGTGAAAGCACCGACCATAGCTCTCAGGTGCTGGTGTAGAATCCTGAGCCTGTATTGATCCATTTGCGTTTTTGGTTGGCGAGGCGGCCATCCGTCTCAGGTACCAGACTGACAAGACCACAGCTGTCGTGGTGAAAGCTGACAATAGCGCAGCACGAGAGCCAGATGTATTCAGCAGTGGCTGAATCTTTTGTGCCAAGTTATGGTTGAGGAGAGAGCCGTTCAGACCCCCGGCCATGTCGCGATATCGGACCAATCACCAAAGGAAATAGACAACGCCTAATCAGGAGAATATGAGATTGTGTGAGGTCGCCCTGGTGTCGTATTGTCCTTTATCTTATCAGACTGTTTCTGCAGTGACTGTTTTTGTCTGGTGCGTTCGTTCGTTTGTCTTTCTTGGGGAGGAGAGTGAAAGAGGAAGGCAAACATCCAGACGGTGACCCACACAACATGACAGGACCTTGATGGAGGCAATGGATGAACGAGCAATACACCGGTGTTGCGATGAGAATTTTTCCAATCCGGGTGCTCTCAGGATAATGAAGGCTGGTAAAATGGCGGCGTCTTGAAGAAGCAGCGGTGTCGAAAGGATCGGTCGGGAAGGGGGAAAAAAGCCTCTTTTCCAGACACAAAAACTGCTACCTCAACTGAGTTACTCACTCTGATGCGTGCCGTGCCATGCCAGAGTAGTCAACTGTCATCCTAGATCGAGCAAGGCTGGGATGTGTTGGGTGGTGTGTTGTTGGCATGGACAATGTTCAACGGTCGAATTAAGCAGATTCAGGGTTTCAGAGTTGCCCGGTTGGGAAGGCTGCGACGCCTTGTTTCTAGGCCCTATTGGAGGGTGGTTAAAATGCGAAGAGGGCCAAAGGTTGACTGCTGCTCACTTGATGGTGGCTCTCTCTTAGGCTTAATTATAGTGGTGAAAATGTCGGTTCTGATGCGAGGGGGTGATGCGAAGGTTTTTTTGTTCCCGGCAACGGAAGAATCGGGGAGGAGCGATGACATAGCTACTTTAGCCTTTCTGCGCCAACTGCAAGTCTGCTGCAGAAGGGCCATTCATTGAGCGTCTGTTACAAGCGTGCGCCATTGGTTTTTGCGGCCACGTAATTGTTATTCCTACTCATTCCTCCTACCAAAAGTATGTTTCACGTATAGGCGCGAGAGAGGGAAAGCAATGCTTATTAGGCGATGCATCCATGTGTTTGCATAAGACTTTCAAGGACGTTTGGGAGGCCAATGTGTTGTTCCCACTTAGTCCCTAGTACTAGTATGTGCAGCTGCCATCTGCAGAGAGGACACCCAATGTAGACACTCCTGCTTCTGGTCCTAGCATTGTGCCTGGAGTTGACACAAAGGGCAAAAAAATATGATTCGAGTCGCTGTGCTGACTCGGTCCAAGGGAACCATTACGGACCCAATGAACCTCTACTGAGGGCGCGGGTCTGAGAGGTCTCGGTAGCATTTGCGCTTTCAGAGGTTAATGCCTTCAGAGGATGAAACAAGGTCGTACGAGGTTGGGTTGTCTCCTCGAATAGTGGTGGCATGCAATTTGTTATAGCGCATATGTGAAAACAGGCGGTGGTGAGCAAGCGAGCGTTGCTATTGCGCAAAGGGTCTTCCTAGTCGTATCTTGCACCTATACCCTCCCTCCAACCGATTGGTATCAAGGCCGCAGCAACATCGTCTACCCCTCGCTCCGTAGCCAACATGTTAAACTGTGAAGCTGCGTTCCTCGTATCCAGGATCTCAATGCGCAGGCCCAGGCTTGTGAGATACCGTCGCGTCGCCGGGCTCAAAGGCCTCATCTCAGGGCCCAAGCCAAGGATGAGCAAATCTGCACTCTCCAGTCAGTCGGGCACCATGATTGAAAACCTCCCGGGGGGAGGAGGGAGGACGGTCTTATCCTACCGGGTTTGGGCCAAAGCAGATCCAACAGCCCGAAAGCCCCCTCTTCCACCTCCCATTGACCCTTGGTATTTATGAGCTTCATGTTTTTTCCCCACGGCTGCCACTCAAACGCCTCGCCGCCGACCAGCAGTACGCCCTTGCCGTCGTAGATCGACACGCCGCTGTTGAGCTTGAACCCATCCGAGGAGCAGATGTCCACGGACGTCGAGGGCGCGGGCGACTGGCCCAGCATGTCCATGCGGTTGAAGTCGGTCGTTGGGGGCCCCTCGGGGATCTCCTCCTGATTGTGGGCACGTCTGGGCCGAAAGAGCGAGGTATGCAAGGGCGCACATAGCCGCGGAGGTAACGAAGGCGACGACGGCCGTCGAGTGGACAGAGGGGACGCGAGACGTGTGTGAGCTTGGGATGCGGGGACGTTCGTCGTGATCGTACGCCGTGTGGAATGGCTTGCTTCGAATAGGTAGCGACGAGACTGTGCAGCATAATCCAATGCCCTCAGCGGGCGCAGAGTCGACGCCATCATGCCGAGGTGACGATTCGCGAATTCAGTGTACTCATTTTGGGCGAGCAGCACCTGCCGAGATGCAGTGAGCTGTTCTGGAAAAAGGTTCAGATTGGGCCCTGTATCCCACACTGCGTCATGGACGGGCTAGCCTGCCGCCGTGAGTGACTCCTCTATCCCAGCGAGAGAAAAAACTATGAAGAAAGACCGCCGCCCCCCCCCCCCCCCAACAAAAAGAAAGAAAAAAAGAAAAAAACCTACCACCACCAACCACGGAGCAAAAGCACAGGCCAGAACAACATGTAGAGAGTCGGAATCCAAGCACTGGCATATGCTCCATTATAACCGACCACATAATCTACGCATGTTAAAAAAATCTTATGCCGCGAATGCGAGCGAACGAAACACTGGTGCACCTGGCTTCATCGTGTATAATTGCAGCCTGGCAATTGGCTATTGTCGTGTCGGACGAATGGGTGATATTGTCGGTTGTGCATTCTTGACAACATCCGGTTGAGGTTAACTCACGAGCGTGAACGCATTTCGCAGCGGTAAAGGGCACAATATGTATCTTTCCACGACTCGATGGCCTTGTTCATTTTCGATCATCAAGACGCTCCACTGGTAAAGCAAGCCCTAAGAACAGAGAAACAGCGGTTTTGGTGACGCCCCTTTGATGTGTGTGCTGTCTTGATTGTGATTTCAAGATGCAGCCATTTTCCCACTACCCTGGTCAAGATGAACTCCCGAGCAGAAAACTGTTTTGACACCGCCCAAAATCCGCCTTGCCGTGTCCGGTTTCCGTAAACCGAAATCACATCCCACCGAAGAACCCTCCTGTCGTCATGCCAGCTGCTTATTTCTTCTTCTCGTTCTGGCTCTGCTCCTTCAGCACCTTCTTGACAATCTTCTGCTCTTCGATCAGGAACGCACGGACAATACGGTCACGCACGCAGTTGCCGCATCTCGAACCGCCGTATGCGCGCTGGACGGTCTTCTTGGGCTTGGAGATCTGAGAGTACTCGCGGGGTCGCAGGGCGGGGATCTGTATAGTCAACGCCGTTAGCCAATGTCCGCGCCAGAATATCCGCCTCCCAAAACAAGTAAGTTCTTTTCGGCAGATGATAGTCGGAAGGCAGACGATCGATCAGAGGGCGGGCGGCGTCGCATGTGTCGGTCCTTGATTCCATCCCATCGATTCCTATGGCTTCTCCATGGCCACCCCTGAACAGAGCGAGGAGAAATTGTCGAAAGAACTCTGTTGCCGTAGGTTTTATGGTGCGCGCTATCTGTACTTGTCGTGATGCCGTGATCTCGCCGTCCGCCATCGTCGTCTCGTCTCGTCGCTCTCAATTGCCAGTCGGGTTCGAGGTGTTCAACTTACGCCAGGCAGCTTGGTACCGCAGTCGCCACACTTGGGAGCAGTGCCACGCTTCTTGATGTGCAGGACACGCAGCTCACCACCGGGGGTCTTGACAATACGAGTCCGGTTGGAGGTGGTGTTGTAGCTGGCAGGCGAGAACTTCGGTCAGTACGGCAGATCCACTTCCCACACATCCCTTCGACCATCATCAACTTCATTTAGATTCGGGGAAATTCTCACCCGTTACGGCGACGGTAGGTGACACGGTTGCCAGGCATTTTGACTGTTTTGGCGTGATTTGTCGTGGAAAATGGGCTGGCCGAACGTGGATCTCGTCTTTTCGCGAGCGAGGTTGAAGGTGGATTGGTTTTGCGTTTGGTGTTGGAGTAATTTTTTGAGAAGTGCGCTGTGGCTTGGACACAATGCACGGACCACATGCTGCGCCAGGCTCAACCCAGCTGTGGCTTGACCCTGTGGAGCGGGGCCATATGCGCACCTGCGCCCTAGTGTCCATAATTACTTGCACAGGCCTCAAATTCAAGTGACGGGTCAGTGACGGAAGAATACCACAAATTCAGCTATGGCTCCTTGATTAAGGTGAAGATGATGTGTTCGTGAGGAACTAAGTAAATTTGCCAGTATAGCAATATAGACACTTCACAACGCTCGGGCTTCAGCGTCCAAAGTCAGGATTATTTTTGATGCTTTCTTCGTGCGTTGATTATCGAGGCTATACAGTATCGGCCTGTAGTTATCCACTCTTGCGAAATCCTGCCATACATGCGTTCAAAACCGTCTCATGCTTGAATCGGATGTGTTCCTCAAGGTGACGACTCTCTGTCGTGGTGTGAGGCCGGATTCCGTGGTTACAGAGCCAATCGATACGACATGCAAGGCCACGCCAGCAAGTAGGAGAGGGCGCATCTCATGAAATTCCAGTGCAGCCCTATGCTTCTTAGAATATGTGACATACCCATCGCTGTTTCATGCGATATTTCAAGCAGCTGCTGATTCATATATGGCAGCAGTTCGCTTAGGTTGGGATGAACCCAAAAATCCAATCAGACAAAGTCGCAATCGAGAAATCCTCCCGTTGTGAGGATGGCATGGCATCCAGGAACGTAGTATCCCTTGGAAAAGCTGCCATTGTTGCGGGAGTTTGCCGTGACGTTGATTTTGCTGTAAATTGTAGGTGCCTGTACGCCCGAAATGGCAGCCTCTGTTGATGCTGACTCTGGCAGCCACCTGCCACTGGACACAGTCTCCGCAGCCACACTGAAAGATGGAGAGGCTTTCTTGTGCAACACGCCATCACCAACTCATTTGTCTCCCCACAGGGTTATGTTGATTGAGAAATGCTCGTGAGGGTCTCTGATGAGGATCGGACCCCTCATGTACTCGGGGTCAGCCAGTCAGGGTGGTCTTTTGGGAGCCAAGGCTTGATGCCCTTTGGGTTGTCTTTGCGGCTCTGCTTGGCTCGCTCGAGGATCTTGGTATTCTCTGGGCTGGTCACTGCTTGCTTCAGCTCCTCGATCTCTCTCCGGGCATCTTTCGTAGCCTCCCCCACCTCCTCTGTCGCATCCAGTCAGCCATCCATCATGTGCATCAGAGGCTGCAACTCTGCAGTAATTCATTTGCTGCATACCAGGTGTTTGTGAAGCGCTAATGCGTTCACTCATCCGGGGAATTGTTGAGCGCATGTTGCGCACCTGCAGCAAGGGATGCATGAGTATGGGTGTGCAGTACTGCTGATTCTAAGGGATGGGCTTCTCACCAGAATGTGCAGTTTTTTCAGATCCTGTAGGGCTTTGCCTGTGGCAGCCTCATCCCAAGAGTCTGCATTCACTGTTGGCTTCTCATTTGGGCCAGCCATCATGTCACTGAATCTAATCTGGTCAAAGGTTGGGAGGCGGGGCGACTGGTGGAAAGTTCAGGGGTGGAATGGCGCCGAGGGATGGCACAGTATTATTACGGAAAGAAAATAGTGATGTGCAGTTGTATTGACCTCAGCTGGGTGAGACATGCAGGCAGTTTTCGGTTCACATGCCAAACAGAAGGTTGCAGGGTTGGGAAATATGTACTGTGTTGTCATGGCAGGCTTGGGGGCCTAAGGTGAAGGGACGTGCCCCATTGAGGCAGGGTGGGGCGATAGTGAGGGTGGCTTATCACACGTGATAACAGCGCTAAGTTTTCCTGGCCTGTTCAATGCTGTCCAATCTTTCAAAGCTTCCAAGTCAGCCCAAGTCAACTCTCACAGGCTCAACTCGCTGAAACCCCAACGGCAGGGTCACACCAAGCTCCCTGGTACACATCTTGTTGATCTCAACAGCCCGGTCATCACTCCACAGGCCAGCAGCGTAGGCTGTGATAGACTCTGGGTGAGCAGGTCCCTTGTGATCCGGCCTCTCTCCCACCCACCGTGGCATCTGCCTCTGCACATACGGAGCAACACGAGACCAGTCTGCCCCCTGGTCCTCAATTTGCCTGGCGGCCCAGAGCTCCCGACCAATCACCATCCACACCTGACCAGCTGACAAGGCCCACCCTACTCTAGGCGAGGGTGCGAGATGGACCGTATGATTGGCTGGGCCGACGAAAGCGTACCAAACATCCCTCAGGACGACCACACAGTTTCAGTTGGCACTGTCCCGCCTCCCTCATACCACCATCCGCACCAGCATCAACATCACACTCATACGCAGCATCCTCACGCGCAGCATCCCTTTACTCAAAGCCCCGTGCAACCTCAGCATCCTGCCACTGCTGCAGGAGGCTATGGGCATCACAGCTGGCAGACGGTCGCCCCGCCGCCTCCTGTGAATGCCACCACTGCTGTGCCACCGCAGCAACAACAGGTGGTGCCGCCATCCAGGCCTCAATCGACCATCTCAATTCCTGCAACCACGCCTGTCCCCGTCCCCATCCCTGTATCTCTGCCAGCTCCGCCCCAAGCGACATCATCCACGTCTATTCCGCAGCAGCAGTCGCAGCAGACTCAGCAGCAGCAGCCGGCGCCCCCGCCGCAGCAAACGCCGACCCACCCGCAGCCAAGACAGACCAAGAAGCGGAAGCTGAACGACCAGCAGAGGCAGCAGCAACAGTCACAACAAGCGTCTGCCGGCTCATCTGCCTCGAGTTCCGATAGACTCGGCCTGCTGCAGACCAATCTTCCCTCACCCGCCCCATCCGCATCAGTCCCCACGCCGCCTCCTCCAAATCAGCAGTCCTCCCAGCCAACGGCCAACGTGCCTTCCTCGAAGCAGACCGCTCCTCCACAGACACCCCAGAACTGGAGTCTGGCAGGCCCCTCGAGCGCACCTAGAAGCTCCTCTGCCATGCCTCAATCTCCGGCGCCGACCCTGGCACCTCCCCCAGAGGGCATATACCGCACATTCGAAGACCTCCTTACTGCCGTGCAACGTGTGGCCAAAGATCAGGGCTACGGTGTTGTCAAGCTTCGGTCCAGCAACTACCGCGAGGGCAAGCCGACGCGTTTTGACCTGGTATGTGACCGCGGAGGGGTGAAATACAGTAGTACTGCGAAGAAGCGCAACCCTAGCACGCGAAAGGTGGACTGTCCATGGCGTGGAAAGGCCGTGTGCGAAGTCCAGCTGGGCAACCAGTGGCGCTTCGTGGTCCAGGAAGCACGACACAACCATGAACCCCGCGTGCCCACTGCAGTTCCGGGACAAGAGAGCAATCCCGTGGCGCAGAGTCTTAGGAGTCTCGTCCACAAGATTGATCGTTTGTCCCATGACACGACCCAGGGCCTCAGCCGGATCGAAAGCCGCCTCGAGAATATAGAGAAACGTCTAGAGGTCTTTGAGCAGCACCAGCAGAACCAGCACCAACACCAGCAGCAGCAGCAGCAGCAGCAGCAGCAGCAGCAGACACACCAGAATCACATGGTCAACAACCGCGTCCCCATGATGGGCGGCCCGGGGATGCTGGACAGCAGGATGCAGCAGGTGGAGGCACGAATCGATGCAATGGAGTCTAGAGGCATTGAGATGTCCATTGGCGACATGGACCCGACGACACGATCATTGCTCACGGGCTCTGCAATGTAGCCTGTATGAGCTGAATGCTCCACATCAGTCTAACCCATCACAGTCACCAGCTTACCATCACATCCCGACCGAACCGGCCACGCTAAGCAGGAAGGCATTATGATGAGGCTACAAGTCCGCTCGATATGGTGACCACCTTGAAACTTGGTAGATAGTTTGGCGCGACGAGCTCTCGCCCTCGACATTTCCAAAGTTATCTCACTTCTCACTGCACCTGTACCAATGACCTTCTGACACAAGAACACAACGCAAGACAAAGATGGTTGTGTTTCCAAGAAATTGAGGAGTGTGCGGCAGTCCGTATCCAAATTGTCCTTGCGATTTCTTCAAAGGGGGAAGGGGTGTTTGGCATTGAGGGCGTTTTTTCTTCTTTTCTGGATGGCGCTTCAGCTCTTGGTTCTCCATGCTGGCGATGCCGACTTGACTTTTTTTCACCCTGTCGCGGCCGAAGCAGAAAGCACGACGTTTGGGCGTTACAAAAGCGGCATACATTTCACTTACCTCTAGCCATGACTATATGGCGTGTAGATGTCAGAGGGAAACCTCATCTGTACATAGCAGTCAATACACAGTATTCCTCTGCTGTCGTCTTAGATCAATTGCTGAAGATTACGAAACTTTTGTGGGATGTGTCTCGAGCATGGGCCGATGAAGACGCCCATTTACGTGTGGCAATTATGGTCCGGTCCAATGCAGCCCAGCTTTGATACAAAAGGTGAACACACGTCTGTTGCTGCCCTCGTCCTACTACCTGTGTATCTCCCCGACCGGGATTGAGACCAGTCTCAGCAGCGACGTGCTGGACTGCTGTCCATCCTTGCGAGACATGAGTATTGGAGAACGGCCAAGGTCCAAGCAGATTGTGAAAAGGAGCAGAGGCATGCCAGTCTTCTGAGAAAGAAGAAGCGCAGATCATGATGATGGCTCATTCTGAGCTGCCGATAATATATTGAGGCTGAAAATGCGTATGCATTCCAGAACACCGGTAAATAGATAAAGAAACCCGAGTGCTTGATCTGTTGAGCCCTGGAACCCAGCATCCTGTTGGTGATGGCATGGCGGAGCAAAATAGAATCAAAGCATCCAACCGCCCCCCCCCCCTTTACCCTATCAACCTTGTCCCCTTCTACACCTAGTCTGCGGAGAGGGCGTACAAGCAAAACCATCCCTCTCTGCAAATGCCCTCCGGCAGCTGTCCACTGTATATTTCAAGACATGCCGCATACTACGTAGTGCTAAGTACATATGTACATATGTACATAGATAAATAACCGTACCCATGAGGAAATTAAGCCATTTGGCCCACTCACACTGATAGAAAGGTGAAAAAAGTCTGGGTGGGCGTGGGTAACTTCTAGGACCCGCCCCCCCCCCCCCGGTGCGCTTTGGCGGACACACTAGAACCGGCGAAGTGTGCCTTCCAATTGGGCTATAGTTGATTTGCAATGGCTTTGGTAATCGGCTGCTAGTGGGTGCGGAGGGGCCTGTCTTGCAGTAGCGAGGCGAACACTCAGCACTTTGTCATGGCCCCCCTCGGCGATAAATTTTATATAGTAGACATGGTGATGATGGGTGTCTCCTGTGGCTGATTTTTTTTGGGCCCCTTTCCGCTTTGTCTTCTCTCTTCCGATTATATAGACCATTCACTGCCTGTACAAAATCTTTATGAGATACCCAGACTTGGTTTTCGATTTTTTCCTTCTCTTTCAACAGATTAACGTCTAATTTACGATTTCTCCTCCTGTGGGAGATCTCATGAGCCATCGTATCGTCAGCCTCGGCTTTGAGAGGGCAGTTTTCAAACCACTCGCCACGAACTCACTGAGAAGCCCAAGTCTTTTATCGCCGCCGAGAGCCGGGGTCAAGTCTACTAGCAGACAAGGAAGGCCATCTTACCACCCTCATCTCAGCCACCAATTTTTCTCCTCCCAGTGTCAACGACGCCGCGACGTAGCCAGCATGGCGTCTGCTGCCGAGGATAGTCCCGCGACATCACCCACGTCTGGGGTGGTGAATGAGCCTGTCACTGAAGAAGAGAAGGCGCCGCCCGCACTGCCACCGCTGTCGGCGCATGAGTTCAAGCAGTACAACAGGCTAGCAGAGCACATGGATTATTTTGTAGGACATGAACCCCTTGTCCTCCTCCACCTCCTCTCCTTGTCGTATGTAGATTCCTGTCTATTAACATGATGTCAGCATGAGCACTTCCGCCGCTCCTGGACAACCCTCTACACCGCAGCCTCATCGGGCCGCAGGCCGGCGGGCATGGGCCTCAAGCAGTTCCTGGACGAGGGCCTGTCGCTCATCAGCCACCTCACGACGCACCACAACATAGAAGAGACGTACGTCTTCCCCGTGCTGGCGCGCAAGATGCCCGAGTTCCAGGCGGGCGGGCGGGGCGGGCGCAAGGCGGCAGAGTTGCTGCAGCAGCATAAGGAGATTCACAAGGGGATGGACGGCATGGAGGACTACTTGCGCAGGTGCAGGAATGGGGAGACGGACCTGGAGATGAGCGTGCTGCGGACGCAGATGGATACTTGGGGAGAGGTGCTGTGGAAGCATCTGGACCAGGAAGTGAAGACGCTGGGGGCGGACAATGTGAGGCGGTATTTTACGCTGGACGAGGTCAAGAGGATACCTATGTGAAGGGGGTTTTTTTTCTTCTCCCTCTCTCGTTCATTCTGCTGTCTTCCTTTCCCTCCCTTTTTTCCTTCTTTTTCCCTCTCTCTCATATCTCTCTTGTCACCGCATGATCTCTAGCCGACTTGAAATTGTAGACTTAATTAGTGTAGACCAGGAAATCCGTTCTTGAATCCCATGGCCTGTCAGCTTTACTCAAGGTCTTACGTGAGGTTGTCCGAAATCATTGGTACGAGTTCTGACAGTCAGACTTCCAGCCCATATCAGACCCGAACCCACGGACTAACAGCTCTTTTATGATTCTGAGGATGAGCTGCGTTGTGGCTTGCCAGTTGGCTATTTAGACTGAGAGAAGGAATGAGGATGATGAAATGCAATTGTCGAGACAATTCTCTGGGTTTGGCAGAACCCTGAAGACACACGAGGCCAGTACGGGCGATCTGGGGGTGGAGCTGAGGGCCACCCTAGGGCTTTTAGCACTGCGTACTGTAGTGGGGGGCCCGGGGGGGGGGGGGTGTTATCTTATCACCACCCACTGCACCTCTCCTCAGTGCTGACCCCGCGGTCAACAACAGCAGCCTGAGCTCCGAGCTACTACCCTATCAGCTATCACCAGCAGTGAAATCACCAAAACCGTGCCGCACAACGCCTCCTCTTATCCAGCAGGACTTCCGCAGGTACTACCAAACAGAACAAGAAAAGCTTTGCAGTCCCATTTCCTAAACTTTCCTGGCCCACAAGATTCGACCCTCGATCCTCTCTTGCCAGTTCTACATCCCAAGCAAGGGAAGTCAGTCGTCATGGAGGCCTCGGCTCTGAAGGGCTGGGAGCTGGAGAACAACGTCAAGCTCGTTGACCCGAACCGCGACTCCCTCTACAACTTCAACAGTAATAGCCAAAAGATCCTGCGTGCGGCCAAGCCGTGGAGGAGCGACCCCAACCATTTCAAGACTGTGCGCATCTCGGCCGTTGCACTCATCAAGATGGTTATGCACGCCCGGTCCGGCGGCAACATCGAGGTCATGGGCCTGATGCAGGGCTTCGTCGAGGACGGCGCCCTAGTGGTGACCGACGCCTTCCGCCTGCCCGTCGAGGGCACCGAGACCCGCGTGAACGCGCAGGAGGAGGCCAACGAGTACATGGTCAACTTCCCCGACCTGGCCCGCGACCAGGGCGCCCGCATGGAGAACATCTTGGGCTGGTACCATAGCCACCCGGGCTACGGCTGCTGGCTGTCGGGCATCGACGTCGCCACCCAGCACAACTGGCAGACCTTTGAGGACCCCTTCGTCGCCGTCGTCATCGACCCCCACCGCACCATCAGCGCCGGCAAAGTCGAGATCGGCGCCTTCAGGACCTACCCCGAGAACTACAAGCCCACCGGCGTCGCCGGCTCTGACGGCTACCAGACCGTGCCCATGGCCAAGGCAGAGGACTTTGGCGCCCACGCCGACCGCTACTACAGTCTCGAGGTCGAGACCTTCAAGAGCACCCTCGAGTCGCAGCTGCTGGACCTGCTGTGGAACAAATACTGGGTCCAGACCCTCTCTGCGAACCCCCTGGTTACCAACCGCGACTACGGCACCAGGCAGCTCTTAGACCTGGGGTCCAAGGTCAGGGAGCTCACCAAAGACCTGCAGCGCAAGACACGCGCCCACCCGCAGATAGACAGCCTCTTCTCGGGCGGTAGCACGAGCTTGTCGGCCGTCAACCAGAACCTCGATAAGCTGGCAAGGGACAGCAAGCAGATCGCCGCCAAGGAAGAGACTGGCCTGATGGCTGTGCAGGTCAAGGCCAAAATTTTCAATGGCTTGGGAGGTGACTTCTGAGATCAGCCCGAAAAAGAAAAGCCTCCCGGGCGAGGGGCAGAGTGAAGTGCATTTCTGTGTTTAGGATGTTGTTAGGAGTTGGGAGACAAAAACGATGCTACGATACCATCCTTCTTGCCTTGAGAGCACATTTCGATGGACAGGTTTCATCAGGGAGCACCGCATCAGGCGCAGGATCAGCTGCTAGAGGCTGGAGGCACTGCATAGACGGCGTTAAGATGGAACGATTGAACAAGGTTTTTCTTTTTTAGTAATGTGACATCTTCTCCTGTGGGAGAAGTTTGAGAAAATGACCATGGCTACCTATAATCGTTACATGCCAGGCGATGCAGTTGCGTAACAGTACCAGGACCAGGACACACCCGTCAACTGGCTCTTGGCCGAGGCGAGGGATCAAGAGAACTCTCGGTTTTGCTTCGCCCACGCACTCAGTCTTTGTTCTACCTCTTTGGCACTCACTCCATCCTCCTCCTCAAGCTCCTTGCGGGCCATGCGCTCACGTTGCCCCCCCTCTATATGATCTATAGCAGAGAGGATCTCGTCAAACTGTTCTGCCGAGCGTTTGGTCACCGGCCTAGGTATGCCGCCGACCGCCGGCCCTCCGAACATCGGGCCCTTGTCCGCCTCGGCCATGACCTGTCGAAGCCGCCCATATATTTGGTGGCGTGCTTGCGGTGGTCCATTGCCCTCCGACGGCTGATCTTGAGACTTCTCTTCGATTTCCCTCTTTATCGGCCTGCGGTTGGCGAGCTGGATCTGCTGGATGTGGGCTTGGAGGTCTTGGATCGGCTGGCCTGGTAGAAATGAACCACGCCTTCCGACTCCTCTGGGATACAGAGGCACCTTAGGCTTGGACAGCGGGAGTGCCGCGGCAGGCTCGTCCGGTTGTGGGCGCAGATCAAGGTGGCGGTGGGCTTGCTTCCACTCTTGGAACCGTAGAGGAATCGGCACTCGCTCAACTTCCTTGGGGGATCGCTTGGGTGATTTCTTGATGGGCGGAGGCTGAGCGGTCACATAGGGCCCCTTGGCTTCATCCTCCGGCAGCGGACTCTGCTGCACCTTTTTGTCCGCGTTGACTGGTATCTTCGCCTCCTGCACCTCGACGTTCCGGGCCTCGATATCCTGGGAGTAGCTTTCGATGTCATCGTCCTCTGGAACCTCCTTGTCGATAGCTTCTTTCATGTATCGATGGTATATCCTTTCGCTAAGCCGCTTCTGCTCTGCCCCCCTGGCCTCCGCCTTGAGCTTGTCCTCTTGGTACGCAGCCGAGAGCCGCGCAGACTTCAAGCGCCGGAGCGTTTCGTCCCGTCCCCACAACAACATCATCGGCACGATGGGCAGCCCTGATCTGTTGTTGAGGAGCGCCCACCGCGCGAATTTCCAGCCGGCGCTCTGATCTACTAGCTGCTCCTTCTTGGTGTCGTAGAACTGAACGGACATGGCAAGCTGCTTCATGGCGGGGCCCAGGGTCTCCTCGTTCCAATCATCCGGCTCAATCTTCTTCAGCGCGATCCTGAAAAAGGTCAACACCTTGGAAATGTCCGCATTGATGAGGGATTTCTTGCCCTTGTCGACCCTCACGCGAGCCACGCTGTCCTGAAGCTCCAGGAAACTCTTCTTCAGAGCCGTCTTCGAGAGGGGGTAGAAGGCGAAGATATTGTCATGGAAGAACTGGGCAAGGTTGTCCAGTGATCCCTTGTAGTTGTTAAGAACCGTGAGTACGACGTCTTCCGTTATGCCGTCTTCAAATATAACGCGGTCACTGATGCTCTGATGGAGGTCGCGCAGTTCGTCGTCCTCAGGCGTCGAGCCCTGGTGATGCTCCGCCAGGGAAGCCTCAAATTTCTGCACTTCGCTCAAAATAGGCTTGAGAATGTTTCTGCGCAGTGCATCGGGGTCCGCAATGTCCCCAGAGACCAGACCGCGGGTGAACTTGGTCTGGAAGAATTTCAGCTTGGCCAGGTCCACAACGATATCGCCTCTGGTGAATTTCAAGGTGAACTGCTCCAGGTCAGCACGTCTGCTCCGATTCTTCCAAATTGCAGGTGTGGTGGTTGAAACCCACGTTATTCTTCATGTCGTTCAGAGTCAAGACTCCTTGCTTGTTCAGGTGCGGATTATTCCGCAGGTTGGGATCCCAGCCGAGCAAGGCGGAGTAGTTCAGCAGGGCCTCTGGGATGATCTTGTTGGCCCGGTAGACGTTTATGCCGATATTATCCATGTCCCGTTTGCTGAGTTTCTGCCTCTGTGAGTCCACAAGCAGACCCACGTGGGCAAAGTTGGGAGGTTGCCACCCAAAGGCATTGTATAACTCGACATGTTTTGGCGTTGAAATCAACCATTCCTGCAAGCAAGTCAATATTGTGTCCTCGAGAAAATTCCTTGGAAGATCCTCCCCCCCCCCCCCCCCCCGCCCCAAAAGAGAATACATACCGCACCACGGATGACATGCGTGATCTTCATGAAATGATCGTCGACCACATTGGCAAAGTGATATGTCGGATATCCATCACTCTTCATGATGATGAAGTTGTCCTCGCGCTCGTTCTTCTTGTAGGCACCATACACTAAATCCGTAGCTGAGACGGGTATCTCTGCCGCCTTGAACCGGATGGTGTGCGGTTCACCGTTTGCTGCTCGCCTGTCGGACTCGGACCTGGTGATACCCATACATGTCCCTGGATAGTGAGCTGCAGCCCCGCTGGCGGTGGCCTGTTTGATGTTGAACTCCAGGTCTTCCTGCGAGCAGAAACATCTGAAAGCATGATCACTCTCCAGGAGAGACTCTGCATGTTGTTTATACAAGTCAAGACGGTCAGACTGCGAAGGGTATCAGCGACATGCACAGGGCTCTTTTCAAGGAAAGAAACAAGTGCATTGCAAACACACACCTGCTTGTACGGACCGAATGGGCCACCCTTGTCCGGGCCTATAAAGACGATAAGCTTCACTTATTTCGTAGCTTTTACATATCGTGAGAGACGTACCCTCATCCCACTGAAGACCCGCCCAGGTTAAATCATCGTACAGCCGTGATTCCGAGTCTGCCACGAAGCGGTTCTGCGTTAGTTGTTAGCGACGTGACTAAAAAAAGAAAAGAGAAGAAGGGAAAAAAGTAAAATCATGCCGGCTCACCTGATCGGTATCCTCAAGCCTGAGGATGAACTGGCCACCCGTCGCTTGCGCCAAAAGGTAATTGTACAAAGCTGTCCGCAGCGAGCCGAGATGTAGGTATCCCGTTGGCGACGGCGCAAACCTCGTTCGTGCAGGTGTCTTTGGCAGGGCCCATGCCGGCTCCCCTTGTTGCTTAGGCTTCCCTATCAGGGCATAACGGCGCACCTGATGGAGCCGTGATGAGAGGCATCTCACTTGTAAAGGCCTCCGAAAGACCAGTAGGCCGCTCATATCTCATGGATGTGGGTCATGGGGGACCGTGGAGGATCGTTATTCTGCTTGAGAGATGCTGGTGTGGGACGAGGGAAAAAAGCTTGGTGAGACGACCTGCTAATGTGAAATATGCACTAACTGTAGGGCTGCTGGAATGGGCCGGGTAATGTTAGCCACAAGGACACTGGCGACAGGGTCACCTCAGCGCAAGAGATAGCGACCAAACGCTGATGGTGGATAGATTTGAATCTTAATAATAGAGTAGACTATGGGGGTATCTGCGTTTCCTCAGTCTAAGTATTTAAGTCTGCAATCATGGACAGGAGGCCAAGTCGTGTCAGAAAGTCTTTTCCAAGTCGCTCTACGCAGCTCTGGGAGCGGTACTTTGTGGCTAATATCGAGACTTTCATAACAGACACCCAAGATCAAGCCTTTCTATGTTTCCCCTGCCATATGTAATTATTTCCCATTGCTCTCAGGCATCAGACAGTCGATGAAGACATCCCTGGACTTGGATTCAATATCTCGATTAGCGATTGATGATCAAGGCGTGTGGCATCCAAACGCCAAGGCAGTGGACTAGCGTTGGTAGAAAATGGCAGAAACTAACGTTAAACTAAATATAGAAGGCGGCAAGTAGTGAGCGCAGGTGGACCGTGCACATGTGCTCTCAAGTATATAATCTTGCTTCCCTCCCAGCCTTTTCAGATTTTCTTTCTTTCCTCTTTAGCTCTCTTTGCCTGTTCGTACCACCCCCCCAAAACTACACTTTATGGTTACTGGTGTTGACAATCTCGTAAACAGTTTGGCTTAGATCAAGTGTAGTATCTGTTCTTTTCAGTTTAATCTCTGAAAGCATTCTACGGAATGCAATCGTGATTATTCTAATTTTTGTCCTTCGGAGGATGATCCTCTGGGCTTGCCCATGGTCAACCTCCACAGTGTCCTCTCTACCACACTGCCTGAGAGTGACGCGAACCCATTTTTTTTCATTGTATTCGTTCGGCTTGCCGGCGACGCGAAGAAGAAAACCTGCTGTTGCTTGACAGGTTATAATTTCAGTCCGAGTTGATGTTCTCTGCCTCCTGACGCGTCAGGAACCACACGCGTTCAGAAATTTTCTGCCCCCCCCCAAAAAAGCCCTTGCCTACAGCTGCGCCTTAACCCGGTGTAGTAAACTTGGCTGCCCTCCTGCATAATGTCAATGATTTTTTTCGAAGCTATTTGACGATGGCGCCTCCATGAGTAGATGGAGCTCCGCCCGAGGTGCTCTCTGTTCTCTGTAGTATGTAGATTTGACTTTTGCTTCAACGTCGCGTTCGAGTATCGGTAATCGGCTAGGCGTGCAACGCTCCAAGTTTCATGAAGCAGCGGGATGCAGTGGGCTGTGTGCCCTCTTTGAGGTCCGCTGATGGCTGCCGTCACTACAACAAGCAATGAAGGCAGCTATGTAGCATGCATCAACTAATCTCACTGACCAGCATCATGAAGAGCTGAGTTGTGAAATTGATACAGGCTTGCTGGGTACCCCGGTAGCTAGGTGTACACACCATTCTGGGTGGTACATGCTGTAGCATACACCTGGGCACTTTCCATAGGCACCAGTACAGCTGGCGCGTGAAAATCTGCTGCAGCGGCTTGTTGGGGTAATGCGCTGTGTCTGCTGCGCTCCCGTCATCTAGTTTATTGCTGATAAACCAACATCCTATCCTCAACAACGTTTTTGCTCTCTCTTGTTCGATTCCTGCTACGCAGTCGAACTTCCTTGCCACCTGTTTCTGATCCCAATCATTATCGTTTCGTGACACATCGGAAAACGCGTTATAGGCAGCCTGTCGTGACTGTCGCAACTTGCCCCGCATAACCCACCAGAAACTCAACGCAACAGATTCGATTTGCTCCTCAATTTTTTTACCCCCCTCGATCGAAATTTTCTGGGCCAGCTCATCACCACAATACTGCTGAGAATCTTTTGAGTCATGGATAGCGACGGGCCAACGGGCGCGGGAGATACTAATCTCTACGGTGAGGCTATCCAGGACGGGGCTGATCCTCAAGTGCATTCACTGACGCCGAGGTAGAGCTGCTCGGTGTGGACAAGACTGCAACTCCAGATGAGATCAAGAAGGCCTACAGAAAGGTGCGCAGATATTTCTCTCCCCCAACTAATCCTGTCCGCCGAGAGGGAAAAGTACGCTCACAACCTGTCTTCCCAGGCCGCCTTGCAACATCACCCAGACAAGGTCCCAGAAGACCGCCGTGAAGAATCCGAAGCCAAGTTCAAGGCTGTCACCCAAGCCTACGAGATCCTCCGCGATGAAGAGAAGCGTGAAGCGTACGACCAATACGGCATGGCAGCCTTCGACCCCTCCCGCGGCGGAGGGCCTGGAGGTGCCGGCGTCGACCTGAACGACATCCTTGCGCAGATGTTCGGCATGGATGTGGGCGGTGGCGGGCCCGGCGAGCCCAGACGACCGCGCCGCGGCCCCAATGAGGAGCAGCAGTACAAAGTGACGCTGGAAGAGCTGTACAAGGGCAAGACGGTCAAGTTCTCGGCCAACAAGAAGGTCATATGCTCCACATGCAAGGGCACCGGCGCCAAGGAGAAGGTGAAGCCACAGACCTGCGACCGCTGCAAGGGTAATGGGTACCAGGATGCTTATCAGCAGATCGGTCCCGGTATGGTCCGCCGCGGACACGTGCAGTGCGATCACTGTCAGGGGACCGGCATGTACTACAAGGAGAAGGACCGGTGCAAGAAGTGCAAGGGCAAGCACGTCAATGACGAGATCAAGCCCATCGAGATCTATATCCCGCGTGGTGCCATGCAGGGCGAGAAGATCGTCTTGGAAGGCGAGGCGGACCAGTTTCCTGACCAGACACCAGGCGACATCATCTTCACGCTGGTGGAAGAGCCTCACGATGTGTTCTCACGCGTTGGAGCCGATCTGTCGGCAGAGCTGGACGTTACCCTGGCCGAGTCGCTGTCTGGCTTCTCAAGAGTCGTTCTGAAGCACCTCGACGGACGTGGTATCCATATCGAGTACCCTCGTGGCAAGATCCTGCGGCCGGGCGATGTGATTAAGGTAGAGGGTGAGGGCATGCCGCTGAAGAGGGGCGACGCCAAGGGTGATCTCTACCTCGTTGCAAAGATTGAGTTCCCTGAGAACGGCTGGCTCAGCGACGATGCGTCGTATGAGGCTCTGCAGAAGCTGCTGCCACAACCTGCGCCTGCCATCGAGGCGGAGGAGATCGATGAGGTGGAATACGAGGAAGACGCCGATCTCGAGGAGGCAAGTACAACCTCCGTCGCATGATTTAACATGTCTGTTATCTCTCAAGGATACGATGCTAACTGAAGTGTTCACAGATGGGCGCTCACTCAGGAGATCCAAGGTTCGGAGGAGGCGACTGGGTAGATATGAACGACGCCGAAGCGGGCGCCACTCAGTGTGCCACGCAGTAAATGCGTTCCACGACGCAAAAGCACTTCTCACGATTATGAAGACTACAGCATGAGCAGGCATCCTTGCGTCGAGTCCATAGGATAGTTTGTTTTGATTGCATCTTATTAGGATCACCAGCATTCGATCTGATAGACATGAAGAAATGGGCAGCATCAAAGCTCTTAACGACACTCGGGTTTCTCCACAGTTAAACTATGTTAATCGTGCGGTGAAACTGTCGATGTCGTATCTGTATGTCTGAACTTAATTGTTTACACGCCGCCTTGTGCGGTTGCGTATGGGTACTTTGAGGAAGATTGCTCCTTCGTCTTATCTAAGACGATGCGCCCGCCCCCTCCCCAAGGGCGGCTGCGACGATGACGAGTACTCCGTAGCAAGCAGGACGCGATACCAATAACAACGTACACTCAAAAAGGTACTTGGAAGTTGCTATTTCTCTCGAGGACACACACTCGTCTTTTTCAGGTGGAAATTGATGTTGAAATTTCATGTCCTGAATAATTCTAAGAAGACAATTAAATCGTCATCGCCGCTGTCCGCCGACAAGCTAGGAGGCTGTCTCTTCCTGTTCACGTGACTTTGTGGCGGTGCTGTGGCTAGTGCAATTTTTCGATCTCGCACTGGCATTTCGCTGCGTCTCCGCGAAAACTTCCCAACCTGCCCCAGCCGGATCTCAATCGAAGACGTCCCTTCTTTTTTTCACTAACCGCCATCCCCAGCAACCGCATCAAAACCAGTCAAGGTACGTCGAAATATTGCTCCTGCGCTTGCTATCTCCTTATTGAGAACTTTCTTTTGTGATACTGACAATTACCCAAGATGGTTGCCGCAAAGAAGCACGTTCCCATCGTCAAGAAGCGTACGTACCAATCGATCGAAAAAGTTCCTCCCACTTCACGAACCTCCACACGCCGACATTGATGACGACAATGAACACGATCAATCTCGAGTCAATCCAGAATCTCCGTCGCTGTTGTTGTCATGGTCGTCATGCCGCTGATCATACTCGACGATTAATTCACGTATGCATGGATAGTGGGGCAAAGATGTTAACGAACATGTGTGTTTGTAGGCACCAAGCTCTTCAACCGCCACCAGAGTGACCGGTTCAAGTGCCTTGACCGATCATGGCGCAAGCCCAAGGGTATTGACAACCGTGTCCGCCGTCGGTTCAGAGGCAACATTGCCATGCCCTCGGTACGTCTCCCCCGAAGAAAGATGCTGGAGAACACGATGCGAGGGTTTCACGAGCCAAGCTTCACGAAAAACCCCCATGAGGTGCCAGCATAGGAGACTGACAAGTCGTGATTTTCAACGTATACAGATCGGCTATGGCTCCAACAAGAAGACCCGTCACATGATGCCCTCCGGCCACAAGGCCTTCCTCGTCAGCAACACCAAGGACGTTGAGCTGCTGCTGATGCACAACCGCACCTACGCCGCTGAGTACGTTCTGTTTGATTCATTACCGATTCGAGTCCGGGAAGGACAGACCTCGTGGAGGAGGAAGCAAAGAAGGGGATGCTGACCAGTTGATAGGATCGCCCACAACGTCTCATCCAGAAAGCGCGTCGACATCATCGCCCGCGCGAAGGAGCTGGGCGTCAAGGTCACCAACTCCAAGGCCAAGGTCACCACCGAGGTGTAAGCGGTTTACGGCGGTTGTTCTCGTTTTTCTCCTCGGCGAATGCATGGGATACGGTCTTGCTTTTGGTGTCTTGCGGGAAAAAGGACAGGCACGCACAGCTACTCCAATCACCTTTGGGAAGGGTAGATGAATGGAATGAATTGATAGGAGAGTATTCCGTTCCGCGAAAAGGCGGTTGTGCGGCCTCGAGTCGATTCGGTCTTGCGGTGGTGGCTATGTTGGCATTGTGCGGGTTAGCATCAGCCGAAAAAAATCAAAATTCTTCGCACGATATCAATCCGACGCTATCGATGTTCCAAAGCTTCCCTTCTGAACGACGGTTGGCTTCTTGTGTCGAAAATGTGCCAGGTTCCTGGCCATAGGGTACTGAACCCTTTCCAAAACCAATGGCCAAGAAGTGAGCAAGGAATGAGCCTTTCTCGGCGTTTCCGACAATTCATGGGCACCTATCCTAAAAGCCAACGACTACAGAACTATTCCCTGAGCCTAGTAGGAACCCCTTCAACGGGCATTCGATGTTCAAGTCAGATTCGGCTCACATGAGAATTAGGCAGTCTTCTCGAGCACCACTTTAAGATGTCTGCATAGGTGATGGAACAAGCAATATTCCGAAGCAAGTTTTTTTTTTTTTTTCTTTCCTTTTTTTTTCTTCTTTTTCGTAATATGCATGGTTCTGTATCGTGGGCAGAGTCCAATATTCCATACTGGCTCCCGAATGCATGCACTATGACTGTAGACTGTCCAGGCATCCGCGGTGCCATATCGTGGTTCTCTTTACATGCGCCGCAATGCAGGTCTCCCAAAGTTTTAACGTCTTCAAGGGCCAAATATCTAAATGGCCATGAAATTCCAGAAGGAATTCCTTTTAGATCTCCTGACAACTGTGAGAGGTAGGTCGTGAATGATGAGCCCCTTCAGATGCATCACGCAACTACTTGTTAGCCGAGCAGAAAAAATGTCGTCAAATTTTGCGACAAAGAGCAGAACCGGCCTGCCCAATCGAGATAGTCCAAGAAATCCGTCCTCCTACAGTAAGTTTTTGGGGGGGGCGCAAATGTCATGTCACTCCCGTTGCTAGCCGCCTCACTGCGGTTGACGGTGGCGTGTGCTGTCAAGCCATATTTCTTCCTCTTTTTACCGCCTCAGAATCTTTCCTTTCTCGTTATGTAAAAGGCGTATTTTACTGACTGACAGCCCGTTCATCGTGTTCTTGGCCTCTCACCACCCCTCTTTTCGTCCTTTTTCCTTCCTTGTTACCTCCCCAGGGAACTGACAGGCTGCCACGAGTGAAAGAGTGAAGAAGGCATCACATTTATTTGCTCCCTCGACTCCGACACCAACGCAGTAATCGACCTTGAACATCCCTCGACCTCGATCGTGCTTTGTCCGCCAAGATGGCAACAACGAATGGAACCTCTACCAATGGAGTGCACGCCGCCGGGGAGATCGGCGCTGTCGATGCGACCAAGCTGATCGGCCACACGCCGCTCGTCCGGCTGAACAAGATTCCTCAGTCGCTGGGGATCAAGGCCAAGGTCTACGCAAAGGTGGAGTTGTTCAACGCCGGCGGTAGTGTCAAGGATCGGATAGCCCTCAGGATGATTGAGGAGGCAGAGAAGAGCGGCAGGATAAAGCCAGGCGATACGCTGATCGAGCCGACCAGTGGCAATACGTAAGTCGACTCTGCTCCCTTCTTCTTTATATATATCGCTTTTTGTTTTTTTCTTTTGTTACCCTCTCCCAGAGAAGGCAGGAGATTTGAAATACTATACCAAGACGAGGTGCTGATCACTTTCACACACATGGCAGCGGAATTGGTCTGGCGCTCGTAGGCGCGATCAAAGGCTACAAGACCATCATCACGCTTCCCGAGAAGATGTCGGCCGAGAAGGTCTCGGTGCTGCGTGCCCTCGGCGCCACCATCATCCGCACGCCGACCCAGGCCGCCTGGGACAGTCCCGAGTCGCACATTGGCGTGGCCCGCCGGCTGCAAAAGGAGATTCCCCGGGCCCACATCCTCGACCAGTACACCAACGTCGACAACCCGCGGGCGCACGAGTTTGGCACCGCCGAGGAGATCTGGGAGCAGACCAACGGCACCGTGACGGCCATCGTGGCCGGTGCAGGGACTGGCGGCACGGTCAGCGGCATCGCCAAGGGCATCAGGAAGCACAACCCAGACGTCAAGATCATCGCTGCAGACCCGTTTGGCAGTATTCTTGCCCTGCCCGAGAGCCTGAACCAGGGCGAGCTGGCCAACATCCCCTACAAGGTGGAGGGCATCGGGTACGACTTCATCCCGGACGTGCTGGACCGTCAGACTGTGGATAAGTGGTACAAGACGGACGACCGCGAGTCGTTCATGTTTGCGCGCAGGCTGATCGCCGAGGAGGGTCTGCTGGTCGGCGGATCCTCGGGCTCCGCCATGTCCGCCATGGTGCGCGCGGTCAAGGACCTGGACCTGGGCGAGGACGACACCGTCGTGGTCGTCCTCCCGGACAGCATCAGGAGCTACCTCTCCAAGTTTGCCGATGACGACTGGCTCGCCGCCAACGACCTGCTGCCGTCCGTCAACGGTGCCGAGGTCGAGGCCGCAGCGCAGAAGAAGCGGCGCGCCAGCGACCCGTACGGCGGCGAGACAGTCCGCTCCCTCCGCCTCAAGCCCGTCACCAGCGTGCTCAGCACCCAGCTGTGCGCCGAGGCCATCGAGACCATGCGCGACAAGGGCTTCGACCAGCTCCCCGTGCTGTCGCCCACCGGCGGCCGGCTCGTCGGGCTCGTGACCCTGGGCAACCTCCTGTCGTACATCTCGCGCGGCCGGGCCAGCGCTGCCAGCCCTGTCACCGACGTCATGTTTGACTTTAGCAAGATCGACGAGGTCGTGACGGACCCGCGGGATATCCTTACTGCCGAGGAGACCTCGAGCAAGAGCAAGAAGAAGAGGCACTTTGTCGAGATCACCCTGGACACGCCGCTGACTGTGCTGAGCAAGTTTCTCGAGTACAACAGCGCCGCGGTCGTGACTGACAAGAGGGATGATGGCGAGGGCAAGAAGCCCGTGGCCATCGTGACCAAGGTGGACCTGTTGACCCATATGATGGCGGGGAGCAAGCGGTCTTCTTCGGGAACGGGGACTCCCAACTGAGGAGAAAGAGGCGCCTTATGGCTTGAGTATCTTATGCATTGAGTGGCGTTTGGGAAGGGAGGAGAGGGTTTTCCAATGATTTGCTTTTTCTTGAGGGTTTCCAGATTGATATAGTAGAAGCATAGACTCAACGTCTATGGGCTTTGGGGCTCAGGACCAAATAGATTCAACCATGTAGGGAATTATCAATGGGGCGGACATGTCTTTTTCTCCTTGTTTTCTCTGTTCCCCTCCCCCCTGACAATGTCCACACGATATTGCCAACTCATGCCAGTTACCAACACTTGTGCAAAGAGAAAGTCGAAGTGAGACGTTTGACTGAATTTATCATTACTAGGTATGGACGCTTGGTAGGCCAGCAGCCCCCATGGCTGTCATTGGTCTGAGAGACCCAAATTTTATAGTTTGTTCCCAATCCAAGCCCACCACCTATCCACATTCGGCTTGTCTCCCAGGACAGCACCGCCCTCCACATCCACATCGATATCAAACTCTCTCATCTGTTCAAACTTGAACTCGTCACTGCCATACTCGCCCAGCCAGTCGTCAGCCTCATCTGCCCCACCACCGAGGTCGTCAGCGCCCACGCCCGAGTCCAGCAAGCCCTTGCTCCTCGTCTTCCTTATCCGGCCCAGCTCCTTCTCGAGGTTGGTCTTGACGAGCTTGGCCGGCAGCGCCGTGAACAGGTCCGTCTTGTTGGCCGCGACCAGCACCGGGATGGTATAGGGCGCCTTGCTCGTCTTGGTGGACCCCATGCGCTTCTGTAGCCGGAGGAGGACGTCGTACAGGTAGGCCGCGGTGTCGGCCAGGATATTGGGCTCCGAGAGGGCGGCCGCGTCGACTACGAACACCACGGCCTTGAGCTTGGTGGACAGCGTCCCCTCGGGGGTGAGCCGCCCAAAGGCGTAGTGCCGCAGCTTGCCGTGCCCGGGGGTGTCAACCATCAGGAACCTGACGGCGGTGGCACCCGTGGCGTCGAGGTCGTCGCGGTACGAAGAGGTGCGGCTCTCGTCAATTGCGAGTTCCGTCGAGGACCACGTCTGCGAGGTGTGCGTCTCAGAGGGGGAGGCGCGGCGCTCGAGGAGGGTGTGGAGAGTCGTCTTGCCGGCGCCGCTGGGGCCCACGAGCAGGATCGACGGGAGGACGGTGTAGGTGGCAGCTTGGGTGAACCAGTAGTGCATCAGGAGCGGCATCAGGAGCACGATCAGCCCGCCGATGATGAAGACGGGCGCTGAGGGGGTCATAATGACCTCGACAAAGTTCTTGAAGTGGTCCATGGTTTCGAAGACGAGCGACTCTGCTCTTGGTTTGCGCCGACTTGACGTGCTGAGATGTGTCCTCGTGGATCGAACTGCCCTTTTTGTCTTGCCCTCTCTTATTCTCTCTTCCCCTCGATTCTTCTTGTCTCTCTCGTCCCCGGCTACTTGACGAACAACGCGGCAGCGGAAGAGGGAATGGACAAGATTAATGAGGAGGAGAACTCAAGGTAGAGAAGAGGGAGTTTCCTATGTCGTACGGCCGTGGCCTCGTGGGGTGACCTGAGGCTCGTACGTTTGTGTCTCCTCGGGAGGTTTCTTGACAGTGGACCGCGTCCGACGTCGATGGAGATGGCCAAGAAAAGCGGGCCTGCAGCTGCAACTGGTTGACAGAAGAAGAAGAAGAAGAAAATACAGCAGGGCACACAACAGTGCGGCAGGCAGGGGTGTGCTGCCAATTACCACGGTAGCTCATTCAAGGTTTGTATCAAGCTTCCAGAAGGCGGGCGCCAGAACCGGAGACAATCCAGCGGGTGCAGCTCCTACGTTGAGCCAACTAGACCCCAACAGGACAGGGTTCCCCCAGGCACCCCTGGTCAGCACGTCAGGCAAGCGCTGCAGATGAGACCTAAAATCATCATGGCTGTGCTGCTTGCCTCCTACCAACGGTTCCTACGGGCGAAGTGTCTGGTTCACCGGTTTTGTCGCTACACCTGTTGGATTCAGCTCTCTTATGCCACCTGTTTCTCAATTCTCAGTGTCCTTCGACAACCTCAGACTTCGATTCTCCATTTCTGCTGGCATGCCACAGGTCATTGTCTTCTTTCTTGTGTGTATAAATGACTAGCTTGTGAAGGCGCCTACGTCAGTTCAAACCTCGACATCGCGACTCCCAGGCTTCGAACCGCTCTCGAGCAATTCCAACGTACTACTTCTCCGCCCCATAACGACCCCCCCAAGAAAACGATTTGAGGTCGATCAACACATCTGTCAGGCATGGCGAGCAAGGAGGGACCGGGCTCGGGCGCCCCCATACAGCCCTCCGCAAAGGGCACCAAGACAGAACCCCAAGTCAACTCGGACGTGGAAATGGGGTCTCTTGGAAATGGCAACGCCAACGGCGCCGAGCCGCAGTTGGACATAATGCACATGGCCAGGATAGGAGATATCGCGGCAATGGAGAAGCTGTTCGAGACCAAAGAGTATGATGCGACATACTGCGACGACGAGGGCATCACTGCATTACACGTACGTCTAGCCCGTACCCACGTTTCGTCACCGGTGAAGCTGGACTGTGCTGACATTTTTTTTTTTTTTTAAATCCTGCAGTGGGCCGCGATCAACAACCAGTACGCCATGTGCAAGTTCCTGATCGAGAAGGGTGCCGAGATCAACAAGAAGGGAGGAGAGTCGGTGGCCACAGCGCTGCAGTGGGCAGCCCAGCGATGCCACTACTACACTGTCCACCTGCTCCTCCAGCATGGCGCCGACCCTCTGATTACAGACGCGCAAGGATACAACACGCTGCACACAAGTACATTCAACGGCAATGTGCTCCTGCTGACGCTATTGCTTCATACCGGCATCCCCGTGGACGTCCTCGACAGCTTCGGCCACACCGGACTCATGTGGGCCGCGTATAAGGGTTTTCCGGCCTGCGTCGACCTGTACCTAAGATGGGGTGCCAATGTCCACGCGACGGACGAGCAGGGCTTCACGGCATTGCATTGGGCGTTGGTCAAGGGCAGCCCGGGCTGTGTCCAGAAGCTCATCGAGTACGGCGCGGATCGCTTTGCCAAGACAAATACCGGCAAGACGCCCGCCATCACAGCCCAGGAGCTCAACACACTTCCGGCATGGCGCAAGGCGCTCACCGAGAGCGGCTACGATGAGGATGGGCATGCCATCACGCCGACCTTCCCGGGAGCCAGTTATCTCCTCAAGAACAAGAAGGAGTTCGTTACCAAATTCACCTTCTTGTGGCCCCTGTCGATTCTCTGGACCGTGATATGGATCCTATCCAAATTCCCGCCCATCTTTGGTTTGCCCCTTGCACTGGCTGTGGCGTATGGACTGCAATCCGTTGCGAAGCACGTTCTCACGTATGCGCCAGCTGATATGAGGCAATTAACGCGGACGGTACGTACGCCCGTCCTTTGCAATACCCGATGATCTTTCTTGCTGACCTGCATATAAAGCCTTGGATGGCGGGGATTTTCTCAGCATCTTTGTTTCTGGTTGGTGTGACGTGGTTCTTTGCGGTCCTGCCGAGCACAACATTCCGAGCTGGTAAGTCGGCCTCCATATCTCCGCGGGCTACAAGAACACATGTCTGACTTGTGCAGACGCCGAACACCGGCAATTATTCGCGAATCTGTGCTTCGCGATATTCTTTGGCATGTGTACTTGGTTTTACTACCTGTGCATGGTCTATGATCCCGGCTTTGTACCCAAGATGAACGGCATTGCAGAGCAAAAGATTGTCATCGATGAGCTGATCAGCCTTTGGAAGTATGATGAGGCCAACTTCTGCGTCCAGTGCATGATTCGGACGCCTCTGAGAAGCAAGCACTGCCGGAGATGCCAGCGCTGCGTTGCACGGCATGACCAGTAAGTAGCCTCCAACGAGTGTGCTCATATTCGAGGGCACCTGACTGACTGGCGGCTTGTAGTCACTGCCCATGGGTGTACAACTGCGTCGGTGTCAACAATCACAGACATTTCTTCCTCTACCTCATCAACCTTACACTGGGGATCTTGAGCCTGGATCTTGTCGTATACAACTACTATACCGCCATCATTCCCACTGCATCCAAGGAATGCAGCATATTTGGGCCTGGTATCTGTCAGATCGTCAACGCTGACACCTTCACCCTGCTCGTCACTATATGGGCGAACCTGCAGCTGACCTGGGTCGGCATGCTGCTTTTTGTACAGTTCGTCCAGGTCGCAAAAGCCATGACGACGTACGAGAACATGTTTGGTGTGAACGCGGCCGCTACAAGCTCTCTCACCTCCGCTTTCACCTCGACCGGCGCGCCTCTGGACTCTGGAAGCCTGCCCCCGTCCGGATCGTCAGCCGAACCAGATGCCAGCGCTGCACATGGAGGGCATGGCCACAAGCATGGCGGCGGCGGCGGCGGCTTGCTCAAGTTGATGACCAAGCTGCTTGGTGTCGACGCATTTGTGGAGACGGCGACGGGTCGTGGCGCTGCCGCAGGCGGCAACACCAGGAGAAAGAAGGCGAAGAACCCCTACAGCAAAGGGTGTATTACGAACTGCAAGGATTTCTGGTGCGACTCTGCGCCCATGTTCAAGCAGCGGGAGAACGGCACCGCGATGCTCGACGGCCATGTGGTCAACTATACCGAGATGTACGAGACCCCGAGTCTCATGCAGATGACCGGTCGGGGCAGTGACCGGAGGGGTGCATACGAGGCTGTTGCTGGCGAGGAGGTGTAATCTCTCCCTGCCGTCTCAGTGCATATGATGTATGTATATATATGTGTATGTATGTATGCAGACGTTGGCCCAATCGGCATCGGCCTTTTGGGTTCTCCAATAAGGACGACAGTGGACGGCGGGGCCTTCATTGCTGGAGGAGTCGGGAATACCATAGCGTCTCGTGCATTGCTTCAAGATTAACGGTTGGTTGGGAAGCAGGTTTTGGTTCAGGGCTTGATGAGACAATGTATGTGTATAATGAGAAGAAATGCGTGTAGAAATTCACGAAACGGATTGGATGTTGCAATCAGACGAACTCGTCCTTTCGCTAGGATGTTGTCGTGGTTGAAGGAAGGGAGGTGTAAAAGTGGCCAGACCCAAAAGTTCCAGTTGATGGGTCCACGGCAGGGGGGCTGTAGCTGCTAAGCACCACCACCTTTATACCATAGTACCGCTACTACAGTCCTTAGTATGTATTGTTTAAGCCCCTGCACAATGGCTTCTCGGCCCCCCTGTCACCTCTTAACCATTCTGGCACGCAAGGGGGTGCGTGGACACGCGGTTAGACAACTTCACAACCACTTGTCTTTCTGTTGGGCGAATTGTTTAACTCATTTTCCTCAAATTCATAGACCACACACACAGTCTTGACGATCTACAGATAACTGACCCTCTAGTCAGAGGACCTACAGAGAGGTGTTGGAAAAAGTGCCCCTTGGTCACCATCAACAACTTTGCGACAAACTTGAGAGGGCGGACGGAATTGAAAAGATTAGGCGACAGACAGGGCCAAGAAAACGAAATCCTCCTCCTCCCTCCCTCACTCCCTCTCTCTCTCAACTGCCCAAAAATGCCTGCCATCACCAAGTACTTGACGGAGCTTCTGCACAAGAAGAAACGTGAGTCCCCCCAACACCTTTCAAACCTCGTATTTTGAAAAGCCATGAACTGAAGTTTTGAACCGTACAGCCGAGACACCACCACCCATCACCACCTCAACAGCAATAGGCCTGCTTGTAAATTCCCACATCCCTTCCCTCTCCCTTGGCTCTATGTCTTCTTTTTTTTTTTTTTTTTTTTTCCCTCTCTCTTTACTCATCTCACTCACTGACATATAAAACCTCCAGGTCCTCTACACGCTTCTTTACGTCATCCCCTTCTACCTCTCGCCCAGGACGCGCCCCTCGGCCCGGCTGAGCAGGGACGCGCCCTCGGTGATCCGCGCGCGCATCACCGCCGTCAGCCTCACCTGCGCGCTGACCTCGCTGTGCACGCTGGGCGTGCTCGTCGTCACGGGAAAGTATGAGAACGCCCAGGCGCTCCACGCGATGGGCTACTGGCCCGTCGGGGTCGTCGAGAGCTTCAGGGCTCTCCTCTTGACAGCGCTGCTGTTCGCGGGCCCGCTGTTCGAGGCGCTGGTTGTGGAGGGGGGCTGGCGGTCGTGGGTTACTCTGGAGCCCATGAAGATGGTCCTGGAGGAGTGGACTGCTTGGAGGAATTATGTGATGGTTAGTATTTTTGTTCCTTTTTCTTTTTCCTTCTTCTTTCTTATTCTCTCGTGTGATGTTTCAACTCACACACTCACTCACACTCACTCACACTCACTCATTCATTCACACACACACACACACAACGACGGAGAAAGAGAGACTAACAAAATTCCTGTTCCAAATAAATAAAGGGCCCCCTGACTGAAGAACTCCTCTTCCGCTCCGCCGCCGTCCCTCTCCTCCTCCTAGCCCGCACATCCCTCGCCAAAACCATCTTCCTTTCCCCCTTAGTCTTTGGCCTCGCCCACGTCCACCACCTGTACGAGTTCAGGGTCACCCACCCCGCCGTGCCCTTCTCCGCCGCCGTGCTCCGCTCCGCCTTCCAGCTGGGCTACACCACCCTCTTCGGCGCCTACGCGACCTTTGTGTACCTGCGCACCGGCAGTCTTCTAGCCGTGTTCGCCGTGCACGTCTTGTGTAACTGCATGGGCCTGCCGCGGGTCTGGGGCCGCGTGACTGCTCGGGCGGAGGACGGGCCGTCGTCGTCGGGGGAGGTGGTCGAGACGGGGCGGAGCTGGACCGTGATTTATTACGTCTTGCTTGTGGCCGGTGCCGTGGCGTGGTATAATTCGCTGTGGACGCTGACGGAGAGTGCGAATGCGCTGGTCACGGTGGAGTGGTGAAAAAGGGAACGCAGGGAGGATTGGCTGACTTTTTGGACTCTTGGCCATGACTTTTTTTTTTTTCTTTTTTTTTTTTCCTGTGGAGAACTGCGGCGACCGAGGGATGGAGAAGGAGGATAAAAAGGTCTTGGTGATCTTCCGTCTCTCTGCCTGCGAACATGGCTTCTTGATTCTTATTTATTTTTAGTTTTATTATTATTATTATTATTATTATTGGTGGTGAGAGCGAGAAAGAGAGAGAGAAAGAGGCAGATGCCTTTTCTCCTGATGTTTATTAGTTCCCTGCCTATAATAAAGCAAGTCTTACCTGAACAACGGCTTGATGTAAAACAAAAGAAGACACATGGGCTATTCATTTTACGTGGAAATACAATGACACAAGTTTTGTACGCAATTTGCAATTGGGGAACATGCAATTGGCTCATGGATGTAGACCTCCTCAGCAACATCCTCATATTCCATGAGATAGTGTTGGAAATTTCGTCTAAAATATGTTCTTCTCCAGAGGGTAAAGCGTGATGAGACCGCACTCGACATCGTGATGTTCCTTAATCTGCTATCTTCCACCGTGGTGTAGTTTCTGTATGTGTACAGCCAGCCATCTTGGCTTGGAATCACCAGTGCCAGAGCCCCTCGCCTACTTCGCACCTCGCTCTAAATTTCCCAGTCTTTCCTCGCCCTTGGTTTTGGTCCCGTCCTATGGTCTTTCTCTTGGTGTATTCTCGAACAGTACTCAGAGATAAGTATAGGGTTCAAGCACAGGGCTGTGGAGCTTTCTATCTAGCGTCTTCGCCATACTGCTCTAGGACCTGACCGCCTCAGTCAACAGCAACTCCTTCTTTCGCTGCCGGTCAAAATGCAACTTTAGATGCACCTCCTTCTTTAGGCAACGTGTAAGGGCGGCAATTTGATCTAGTAGCAATGTTGAGCGCCAGGGCGCTCTCGGGGACCATGCATCTGGCTCGTCTGCCTCTTTCGGCGGTGGTCCTCCAAGTTACTATTCCGAGGAGTAGAGCTTGAGTGTACGCCAGACTCCGCAGGATATTTTATCAACCCATGTCAACGTTCACGCCCGGCATGGAACCAGGCATGGCCCCAGACACAGCAAAGACGTCCTGCACCCTTGGCCGCCGTCGATACCTCAGGGATTCCGAGGTCCTGTCTGCCCGGTCTGCCCGATCGACACGGTCAGCGCGGGCATCCTCCTCGGCCTCGACCTGATACCTTGCCTCCTCCCTCAGGTCCCGGCTGATCTCGGCACCTTTTGCCTTGCCGAGTGACTTCTCCGCCTCAGCGATGAAGTCGTCCCCGCCGCGGGTGTTCCGCTTCCGCGGCCACAGGCTTGGCAGGGCAATCTCCTGGAAGCGCGGCTCGACCGCCCTTTCGTCGAACCACTTGTGCAGGCGGCTCTCGACCAGCTGGGCGATCTTCGGGACGTCCTGCAGGCGCGAGCGGCTGCCGAGGAGGCTCCGCAGGGAGAAGTCGAGGCGGTAGTCGTCCAGGAAGCTGAATGTCATCATGGTGGGAGTATCCTGCGAGGGGTTGCTGGGGATGAAGGAGATGGACAAGGTGCCGCTGAAGCGGACTACGGACACGGACAGGGCGACAGGAAGGACAGCGGAGAGCTTCTTGGGGTAGTTGAGCAGCATCTTGGTTTCGAGGGCCAGGGTGATCATGTCGCTTAGGTCGACGTCCATGCGGGCCTGCAGGCGGCAGCCCTCACGCATGGCCATGTTGGCGTCGAAGGGCCTGCCCGGCGGGAGGGCCAGGCCATCCTCATCGACGGGGATGATGCGGCAATTGCTGAAGATGGGGAACTCCTCGCCCAGATTCAGCTCGGTGACACGGATCTCGTCGAGGAAGTCGGGTCGGGAGGGACTATTGAGTGCCTTGGTCAAAGACCCGAGAATGGCGTCGTCGTGCTGTGCATCGCTGCGGAACTGCGCAATGGTCTGCGCTACGAGCACATTGAACCAGTCGAGGCTCTCTGGCTGGTGGCTGTCGACCTTGTAGTATGTTTTGTGTAGTATGGAGCCGATGGTCAGGGTTGGAGGCCCGGAGCGGAGGATGCTGGACTTCTTCCTGTTGAGGGCGGGCGTCTGCTGGTGCTGGTGCTGCTGCTGTTGTTGATGCTGGTGTTGGCTGCTAGGAGGGCGTCCACTCGTCCTGAGGCTGAGGAGGGACTTCTTGTGCGCAAGTGTCCTCGATCTTCTTTCGGTCGCTCGTATGGAGGCTGTCACCTCAGAGGAAGGGGGGTCGCCGAATATGAAGAACTTTATGAAGGCAGCGATGAGGAGGACGACGGAGATCTGACCGAGGATGAAGCCTTGTGTGAAGGAGAACCTGCTTCTGTTGGGTTAGCAGGCGCAATCTACTTTTTTCTTTCTTTTCCCCCTGTGGCCTATTGTCACTATAAAGGGCAGAAACACTTACGTAGGCTCAGGCCTAGCTGGACACACATCTTGTGCCATGCTGAGGAGAGTTGAGAGAAAGGGTTGTTCGGGAACAGCCCTTGTTTGGCTGCTGTTCCATGTCGACGATGAGGAGTGGTTTTTCCTTTAGCGATGAGGTCAGAAGGGACAAAGCAGTGATCAGGCCCTAGTGAGCTCTTCCCACCGCCAGTGTGGGGTCCGGCAGGGGTGCTGATATCTACTTATAGCAGGGGAACTAGGGAGTGGTCGTGTAGCTTATAGCGCTGGCCAGTAGTAGTAATCACTATGTACAGTATGTACTGTGCCGGCCGGGAGTGGATGCATGTGCAGGCATCATTGGGGAGCCTCATGTGTCTTAAACCAACTGCACCATCTCACAACCACAACAAACAGGACAACCAGGTGCACCGATAATAGTGTGTCTTGAGCCTACCAAGCCAATAGCTATCTCACTCCAGGGATAACACACAGAAAGAAGAAGAAGAAGAAGAAGATAGAAGGAGTCCTAGACGACAGAACCATTGTCAGCTCACCTTCCAAGCACAACCTGCCAACTGTCCAATTCACCACACGCCATCGACATCAACATCGACTCCTTAACAGACAATTCTGGGACCTCTGAAGCTTAGGAAAAGGAAGGCTTCAGGTTGCAGCTGCCCTTTTTTTTTTAATAAAAAAAATCGGCGACGTCATCTGCCTTTTGAAAGTCAACCCCTGACTCTCCTTTTTCGCAATGGATGTGGTACAGGCGGTGGCCGGGTCCGTCGCCAAGATGGTCTCGGCCGGTGACGGCGCTGGTGGTGCGCCATCCTCCAAGATGAAGATCCTGCTGCTGGATAAAGACACAGTATCGGTCGTCTCGACGGCCATCACGCAGTCTTCGCTCCTGAACCACGAGGTGTATCTCATCGACCGGCTGGAGAACGCAAGCAGGGAAAAGATGCGACATCTCAGGTGCATATGCTTCGTCCGACCGTCCTCGGACTCGATACAGTTTCTCCTGGACGAGCTGCGGGAGCCCAAATACGGGGAATATCACCTCTACTTCAGCAATGTCATCAAGAAGTCAGCGCTGGAGCGCCTGGCCGAGGCGGATGACCACGAGGTGGTCAAGCTGGTCCAGGAGCACTTTGCCGACTTCGTCGTCATCAACCCAGACCTATTCTCCATCGATGTCCGCCCGCCGATGCACCGGATATGGAGCACGAGTCCTGATATGTGGAACACAGACAGCCTGGCGCGGACGACCGAGGGCCTGATCGCCGTCCTCCTGGAGCTGAAGAAGAGGCCGCTCATCCGGTACGAGAAGAACAGCCTCCTGGCCAAGAAGCTGGCGACCGAGGTGCGCTATCACATTAACCAGGAGGACCAGCTCTTCGACTTCAGAAAGGTCGACACTCCACCGATATTGCTAATTTTGGACCGGAGAGATGACCCTATCACGCCGCTCCTGACGCAATGGACGTACCAGGCCATGGTACACCACCTCCTTGGGATAGACAACGGCAGGGTCGACCTGAGCGACGTGCCAGACATTCGACCGGAGCTGAAGGAGATTGTCCTGTCGCAGGACCAGGACCCCTTCTTCAAAAAGAACATGTACCTCAACTTTGGCGACCTAGGCGGGAACATCAAGGACTACGTCGAGCAGTACCAATCAAAGACCAAGAACAACGCCAATATCGAGTCTATCACGGACATGAAGCGCTTCATAGAGGAGTATCCAGAGTTCCGGAAGCTGTCGGGCAACGTGAGCAAGCACGTCGCCCTGGTGTCTGAGCTCAGCAGGAGGGTGGGTGCCGAGAATCTGCTCGAGGTGAGCGAGCTGGAACAGAGTCTCGCCTGCAACGACAACCATGCAGCAGATCTGAAGGTGAGCAATCAGGACTCATGACAAGACAGCTCCTCCTTCCCTCTCGCGCATCTTGCAAGATAAATGGCAAGTGTGTATACTGACGGGTTGACCCTCTGAACAGAACGTGCAGCAATTGATCCAGTCACCATCCGTATCAGCGGACAACAAGGTGGTCCTGGTTGCTCTCTATGCGCTCCGGCATCAGAAGCACCCTTCGAACTCAGTGCCCATGCTCGTTGACCTCCTGTCAACGGTGGGCGGAGTGCCGGCTAGGAAGGCAGACCTCGTGGTAAAGCTGCTCGCATACCACTCATCACTGCAGCAGTCACAGGCGGCCGGCGGGATCACGGATCTCTTTGAGTCCGCCGGCATCTTTTCGGGGGCGGGGAGCAGGTTTAAAGGGCTCAAAGGTGTGGAGAACGTCTACACGCAGCACTCGCCCCTCCTCGAGACGACGCTCCAGAATCTCATCAAGGGCAAGCTCAGAGAGCAGCAGTACCCCTTCGTCGAGGGAGGAGGGACTACGAGGGACAAGCCGCAGGATATTGCCGTCTTCATCATTGGAGGCGCGACCTACGAGGAGGCACGGACGATCGCAACTATCAACGCCTCCACGCCAGGAGTCCGATTGGTCCTGGGCGGCACGACGGTGCACAACGCCGCCACCTTCTTGGAAGAGGTAGACGACGCCGTATCCTCATGGCCAGAGCCTCCACTAACGACGGCGGCAGGACGGCTGCGCAAAGAGCTGGGGCGGAGGTGAAGGGGGTACTATGGCGGTGGGTGTCTGCTGGTAGCATCGTCCCGCAATGGCAGTTGAGAAGTTTCATCTGTCCAAGGGCAAGGGGTGCTGATGGTTGGAAACCATCTAAAACGGGAGGAACCGGAAGAATCCACCGAGACAGAAAGCTTAAGCATCGCAATCGGAAGGGCGAGAGGTCCTCAGCTCTAACGATCAGCGAATTTAGACTCTCGGAACGGCGATCGGACACCATAAACTTCGGCAAAATTCAAATACCATAATATACCCTGCATGATCTTGAGCAAGAGAATGATCTCGGGACACATGGTCACAAGGAGGGCCGCCCGGGGGGGGGTGTCTACAGAGAAGAGCAGCAGGAGCGACAGGTTACAACAGCCAGGCCATCGCCTCTCACCACCCCAAGACTCGAGGATCGTACGATTTCTCGGACCACTCCTCGGATCGCCCAGCTAGAGTTCATGCATCGGCCGGCGCTGTAACGTCTCGGCAGATTGTGTGATCAGGCGTTCCGTCCAGATGAGGAGGAGCAGGGAACTCAGCAGCCATGGGCAACCTCTTCATCCGTCCACCCCTCTCCTTGTTCCCTGCGCCTGCTATGTCATCTCGTGTACTTTGCATAAAAGCTCACAATGTGATCTCGAGAGCGTCATTCACTTGTCAATGCAGGGGAGGGGAGCAGGGTGTGATCTCACTCAAGGTGTATCCACATTCACATGCTCAAGATACTAGGACTCCAGAGCGTGGGCGTGTCGGTGTCGTAATTCCAACATGCCGTGCGGACTTCGTGTAATTGAGAGATGAAGTTGAGACTCACATTTTCAAAGTCATCCAGAAACTGCGATTCTTGAAAAACTCCTGTATCAAATAAGGAGAAGAAGAAGAATGCACGCGCGGAATATTCTGGTGACAATGACTGATGTTTCAGAATGCATTGAAATCAAATAAAAAAGCCCCAGATTTTGGTAGCTCATTAATTGATACAGTACTATGTACATCCGTAGATGGTACCTGCCTGTACTGTTGTGCTTATCGATAAGCGTCCCTGTCTTTTCTTTTTTTACCCTTCCTAGTCAATGACATTTTGAAGATGCCCTCACGACGACGACAAGACTGACGCATCAATGCCGCCCTACTGCCCAAGATGAAGAAGGCATGGCAGCCGCGAGGCCTGAGTAGGCCAGCCAACTTGCTCAGGCGGCCGACAATTCTGCTGGTAGCACGATCAACACCCAGCCAGAGGGCAAGGACCTTTGCCACTGTTGCGGAGGACTCGAGGTAAGTCTCTATGCACCCTCTCATCCCCAAAGAATAAACACCCGTTTTCTGATGATTGCTGTGACTGACACATCATCTTCTTCACACACCCAGTCTCCTTCACAGTCACTTCGACGTCGTCGTGATAGGCGGTGGCCACGCCGGTTCCGAAGCCTCCGCAGCAGCAGCCCGCGCAGGCGCTCGCACAGCCCTCGTGACGCCCAGTCTCGACAATCTGGGCGTGTGCTCGTGCAATCCGAGCTTCGGCGGCATCGGAAAGGGCATTATCCTGCGCGAGATCGACGCCCTGGATGGGCTGGCGGGCCGTGTTATCGACCGGGCGGCCGTGCAGTTCAAGGTGCTCAACCGAAAGAAGGGCCCTGCCGTGTGGGGGCCTCGCGCGCAGATCGACCGTGGTCTGTATAAACAGTATATGCGGGAGGAGCTCACCAACAATTGCCCAGGCCTCGAGGTTGTTGAGGGGCGTGCCCTGGATATTGTGGTGGAAGACGTTCCCGCAGAGGAGTACAACGACGAGGAAGGGGGGGCAGCTAGACGGCAGATCACAGGCCTGAGGCTCGAGTCTGGAGAGGTGATACGGACAAAACATGTCATTATCACAACGGGGACGTTCCTGGGCGGGGAGATCCATGTTGGCTTGCAGGTCTACTCTTCGGGTCGCCTGGGCGAGCCTGCCACATTTGGCCTGAGCAAGTCATTATGGGACGCAGGGTTCCAGATGGGAAGGTTAAAGACGGGCACACCACCAAGGCTCGACAGGAAGACGATCAACTTTGACGAGCTCGAAGCACAGGAGGGCGACGACCCGCCCATGCCCTTTAGCTACATGAACGATGTGGTCTCCGTGCGGGAGCAACTCCTCTGCCACGCGACCTATACCAACGAGGCCACCCACGACGTCGTCCGCGCCAACCTCGACAAGACGATCCACATCCGCGAGACAGTCAAGGGCCCCAGATACTGCCCCTCGCTCGAGTCCAAGGTCATCCGCTTCGGTCACAAGAACAGACACATTGTCTGGCTCGAGCCCGAGGGTTTCGACAGCGACGTCATCTACCCCAACGGCCTGTCCATGACCATCCCCGCCGACGCCCAGGAGCAGCTCCTCCGGACGATCCCAGGCCTCGAGGACGTCAAGATGCTCCAGGCCGGCTACGGCGTCGAGTACGACTATGTGGACCCGCGCAGCCTGCGGTCGACACTCGAGACCAAGGCCATCAGGGGCCTCTGGCTGGCGGGCCAGATCAACGGAACCACAGGTTACGAGGAGGCCGCAGGACAGGGCATTATCGCGGGCATCAACGCCGGGCGTGCCGCGCAGAATCGCACGCCCATCACCCTCAGCCGCAGCGACGGGTACATAGGCGTCATGATCGACGACCTCGTCACCAAGGGCGTCTCAGAACCCTACCGCATGTTCACGAGCCGGAGCGAGTACCGCCTGTCCACGCGCGCCGACAACGCCGACTCGCGACTCACCCGCAAGGGCCACGCCTGGGGTGTGGTCGGCGACAAGCGCTGGGCCTCCTTCCAGCAGGAACAGGCCGCCATGGCCGAGCTGGAGGCCCTCCTGCGGGCCCAAAATCTCCCCTCGCCGCACTGGGCGCGGGCCGGCTTCCGTGTCAAGGAGGACACCGTCCGCCGCGACGGTATGGACATCCTGCGCCTCGCCGGCGTGAACATCGACACCCTCACCCGCTCAGGCATCGTCTCCGACGCCGCCGCCGCCTCCTTCTCACAGCGCATCCGCACCAGGGTCGAGATCGAGGCCGCCTACGCCCCCTACGTTACGAACCAGCAGCGTGACCAGGATCGCCTCAGGCGGGACGAGCAGCTGCGCCTGCCCACGGACCTCGACTACCAGGGCGTCTTTGGCCTGAGCATCGTGGAGAAGAATATCCTGCAAGCGACACAGCCTGAGACCCTGGCCCAGGCCAGGCGGTTAGAGGGCATCACCCCCGCCGGGTGCCTTCGGCTGCTGGCTTACGTCCGGAGGCCTGGCGGTGGTGGTAGCACCATCGCCACCAATAGCAGCAGGAGTGACGTGGTCACCGGGCACGCAGAACCCCTGGGCACTGCCGACGAGGACCAGGAGACCTTGGACGCCAAGGCGAGGGTTGCAGAATTGCAACCTTGAGAGCATGACAAATAGCTAATGATACCCACCCTCCCAAATAAACGAAAGGAAAACACGGAATTATACATGCGTGTTACATGTTGTATTATCTTTTCTTCTGCAAGGCCGTTTCAAAAAGTGGTACCCAAAAAAAAAAAACACCACTAGGCTCGTGCGTAAAGGGAGGAGAGGAGGGGGAGCAGAGAGGAGTCCAAGTATTTCCGATTCCGGAATGTCATGATGTTGTACAGCCAACGCCCACTGCAACGACAAAATAACACCAAAGGAAAAGTTGAAAGAGAGAAACGGCCATCCTGCAAAGTTTGTGATGCACAGCAACCCGACTTCTTCTACTCCTTCCTCCTTCTTCTTTCGGATCTTTTCCTCGGCCGGCTAGAACAAGCGGGATGGCTGCACAAAAGGTTAAGAACTTGGGCGAGTCTGAGAGCCCAAGGGTGTTCTTTGGTTTTGGTTTTTTTTGGTTGTTTTTTTTTTTTTTTTTGGGATGAAGTGACGTTTCTTTCCTGTTGTTAGCTTATTGGAGGTCACGGCAAAAGCCAAAACCTTACAGGATAGAATAGGATATCATCGGGATAGGCGAGATTTCCTAGACCACGGGGGAGGGGAGAGAACAAGGGGGGAGGGGGAGAGTTGCTTCGCTACCCCTTGTCTCTCAAAGACGTCTCTCTAGCTGCTGATCATGCACATAAGTCTGTAACAACCGTTTTCCGATGGGAAAGCGCTCTGTGAGGTCTCAAGGACATGGTTTGCACAAGATATTTTGGGGATTGTCTATGGCATATGATCAAGATATGTGACACGGCCATACTTGAGATACTTTTTCTTAACGAGATATCCTCACAAGTCGAGATCCGATCCTTTCCTACGGCGTATATTTTTCCCTCGATGAACCCTGCGGGGGACAATGACTCCCGACTGTGACATGTTTCTACCGTCTACAGTCCTCTTTATTATACTGTACGCAGCAGGATATCAGGCGACTTCTGCATAGCGCACACGTCTTGGCCACTCCTACAACCCCTACGTTGTAGATGTCTATCACACCAAGACACCGGATTCTCATTCAGCTCTTGATGGGCAGGAGTAGCGGCAGCTCATCGATTTGGGCTGTAGGTCATCTATCTGACTTCTCTTGGGTTTCCCGCTCCTTGGTATCCTTTTGCGAGAGGATCTTGACAGCGTCCTTGCTGTAAATGTAGCTTGCACCGCTCCAGATCGTCGTCACTGCCACGGTGTACCTAAACAATGAAGACAACGGTCAGTACTCCAGATGATTCTCGTCGGAAAGCAGACCTCCAACCCCATTTCGTGACAATCACAATGCATCTCCTGCAGCGGTAATGTCTTGGGAAGTGCCGATACATGTCAAGTGGTACAGGCAATCCCTCGATCGGTTAGGATCATACTTCTCCGGAGAGGAACTTGCCCATCGACATGCGGCAGCCGACTAGATGAGCTCCTCGAGATGCGCCATATCATGCAGGGGCAAGACGCACGCCCTCTGGCCAAGGGCTCAGACCCCCCGCCCCAAAGTTTAACGCACGGGAATCAGTCCGCCCGGGCTGGAGGTCACTTACTGCATCAATGTCAAGGGCGTGCCCCCCATGATGGGTAGTAATGGTGACAGCGTCGTACAACCCATCAGAGCAAGCTGCAAGAACGTGTTGTACTTGCTGATGGTCGTAGGGTGGACCTCTGCAGACGGCAGCGAGAAGTCCCAGTACCTCATGAAGGTCTTGGGCGGTGGCAGCGAGATCCACCTGTAATAGATGGCCGCAATTCCCAGGGCGACGTCCCGACCAATGATAATGACGGCTAGCCAAACTGTTGAGGCGACATCTCGTTAGCCTGTGCGACCTGATAGCTCCTGGAACGACTCGGACCCCCCCCCCCTCCTCTCTTCAAGGACTGCAGTCGTAACTCACGAGGTAGTGTGCCCTTCATGGCCAAGGCCACGGTCAAGACCATCATGAGAGCCTTGTCAGCCATCGGGTCGATCACCGTTCCAACGACCGTGCCCAGGTTCCATTTCCGTGCTATCCAGCCGTCGAGGAGATCAGTAATGCCCGCATAGGCAAACAAGCCCAAGGCCCAAGCGTGATGATCATTCAGAATACAATAGCCAATGAAAGGAGCGGCTATGATCCGGGATGCGGTCAGTAGGTTGGGTACAGTGTAGATGTTCTCATGGGTAGAAACAGGGAGGGCCCTTCGCAATGCATTCGACAGCCGCTTGGTCGGGGTTTGTATTGCTGACGACAGACTAGTAGTAGAAGGGGTTAGTGAACCGGCCGAAAGAAGAGATGTGAGACATGAGAGCACAACTGCACAAGAAGATGGCAATTGTCACACGTCTGGAAGACCCACTGGGGACTCGTAATTTCTTCCAGGCAACAATAAGCTCGGGATGTGGGCGACTTACTCCTGTTCCTCCTTCCGCTCACCTTCTTTCCGCCGCGGTGAGGTCACGGAAAAGAAGGCGCGGACCTGCCTAGGCTCTGTGGGGGAGAGCCGGACACCGACGGCTCTGCATGACGCAAAGCACATCCACTTGCGTGCGTTCATCGTTGTCAGCTTGAGCGCAGCCCGAGGGCCGTCCGACCTCAGGCCTAGCGGAGACGTGATAAACAGAGGCGATCGGAGGGCACTTCCCACAGGACAAGCCCTGCGACATGTGAAAGCAAGTGACATTGGTGAGACGACGTATCTGTTCCAGAAGATGGTCACAACACGGAGGAAGGGGGGGGGGGGGAGAAGGTGGCCACCTGCCCAAGAAAGGGGGCAGGACGAATAGAGGTGAGGTGGATACAGATGGTGCGGAAAGTTTGTTGCGCTATTGCATCCTCGAGCTGGGGACGTTGTCTCCGTAATGCTTGAGCTGCTGGGGGAAAGGGGGAGGGGGCTGATATGCTCAGGGTCCACAAAGTCTAAATAACCTCAAGATATCCCGCGCCAGGGGTTCGACTTGCAGCTGCAGGACGGTCGAAACAGGGAGAGGAAACTCTGCCAGTGGGTAAAAGTCCTGAGCTGAGCTGAGCCGAGCTTGAGCCGCAGGGCCTGCCACCAAGATGTCGGGCGTAACTTCCCGTGTCCTGATGCTTCCGCCAGCAGGGACAAGCCCAGTACCACCGTTGCGTTGCGTTCAGGAGATTTTGCTGTAACCCTGTCCTCGCGATCCGTATGTCATGAAGTTCACGTTTATGTAACACAGCAGCGAGTAGCCAACACGTGATGGTGCTGTAGGAGCGGTGGTGATGAGTGGTGGTGGTGGTAGTTGGTGCCGCCTGTCAGGTGTCTTGGATGGGGGGGGGGGGGTTAACCAGCAAAGGATGCTCTGTTCGTTTCGAGTTGAGCCGGCAGCAATACGTCAGCACACACACATGCACACACACAGCGTGCGTATGGGTTGTGTTGTGCTGTTTCGAGGTGCGGTCCACAAACTTCTCTGATTCGCCCAGTGTGTAGGAAGCTCTTCCCTGCCGAAGTTAAAATGCCGACAGCTCAGGCCCCAGGGTGTAGAACACCAGAAAGAAACAAGGTTCTGCAAGGTGAGGGGGCCAGGGGTTGCAATGTATGGTTGAGGTTGTGGTGGTGTTGATGGTGGTGTGGTAGCAGCGATGAGGTGTCTTGTCATATCGATTCGTTTTTGTTGGACGTCGCTGGTCTCCCCTCACCACCTCCAAAACTTACCTCATCCTGTGCAATGCTGCGAACCTTGGCCTGGGTGGGAAAAAAAACAAAACCGGGTCGGCAGGCTAAGAGATCGAGGTGGGCCCTGAAAACCCCACTTTTGAACAGCTTGTTGCATGTACCCCATATCGTGCATGTAGTGACAAGATACAGAGCTGCATCGGTACGGATCGCGGGGTACTGGAGTACTGTGGTTCTGCGTACCGTGAGCCAGGGAGATGTGGTTCTCCGCCAGAGCCGCATCGTGGTCCGAGACATCCCTGCTTTTGCATATTCTACTAAGGTGTACGTACTAACCACATTTGGTACTATGTACTATGTAGTATGATAGTACTAGTATGGAAGTAGGGTAGTGCGTGGTAGTTGTATGTTCGTAGCAACCATGTTCGTACTACCGTGACTACTTCCTACTAGGCAGTACAGAGTAGTCACACCCCAGTCAGCTCAATACGGTCCTGTCCCTTCCTCGCATCCTTTTGCAGCAGTATCACCAAAACGCTCCTTACCTCAACTTACACATTCCATGTTCCATATCCACCATATTCTTTCAACTTTTCTTCGCCTAATTATCAAACTCATCGTCGTCAAACCCCTGAGGAAGAGAGAACCCCCCTCCCCCCAGGGCATGCCTTCTTTCTCCCCTGCTCACCCGAATCGACCCACCAGCAACGAAATCAAGCTCCTGCGCTACCAGCCTCTGCCGGCCCCTCGCCTCCTGCTCCTTGGAAGGGTTCACCCTCGTTCCTGTTGTCTAGACGCTTCCCTCTTCCCCCGACCTTGGCACTCTAATCGGGTCATATTATACCGAATTAATTATGCCATGGTATCAATCTGTGTATCCACAGAGTGTCCATTCACCATCTGTTCAGTCAAGGACGCCTCGTCAATATATCGTCATCACCCCATCGTCATGAAACCTCACTCATCACCACAATTACGACAGCGGCAATCGTGCCTCGCCCAGGGCAACATCATCTCAAAGGCTAGCGACCATGCATGAGAAATGAGGTCGTGATAATAGCCAGGCAACGACATGTCCGTGCCACAATTGAGCCGCCGATCAGCCAGGTGCGCCGCCGGGCCGAAAGGTGGATCAGCCCTGCCCTGCATGTTTGGGTTCACCGCGGTCGTGTCGAAAACCTGATCGATCCCCGCCCCCAGCTACCATTCTCAACAGAGGGCTAGTGGGAGCTTGATGGCTGTGGTGGATGCTACCGCGTAACCACCAGATCTACCAGGACCCAAAAGCTGCAGCAGCGCCAGAGCGACCTAAGCCAGCCGAGCATTGGGGCTAGCAGCCCGGCCCAGCATCTTTCCATACCCTACTGTGGTACGGTAGTAGGAGCGCCCATGCCTTAGCGTCATCGCCAGACGCTACTGCGCGCGTTCGCATGGCGATTCCTCTTGAGGAAATGCCGGCTGCTTTTGTACGATGGCAGGTAGCTGAGAGCACGGATCTTGTGCCGCTCCATCCCAATCCCTCCTCGAGCATCTTGGCAGACACATTGTGGTTGATGATTGTTGTGCACAGGTGGGCCTCCCCCCAAATCATCTCCAAAACATCACACAGGCACTAGCAGATTTACTTGCTTCACCTTTGCTCGCATGGGTTGCCTTTGGAATACCGAACCCCTCTTCCCCCCAGTTATCGTACAGTGGTGCGGGAGCTAAAAAGAACGGTAGTCTATAGGAAATGGAGACGGGAACCACATCCCCCTCGACATATCGAGATTTCCCTGACCCATGGGCTCTGTGAAATTGTGAACACGCATTTTCTCGCTTAGGTTATTCAAGGATATCTCCTTGTGAGGCAACATTCGGCCGTTGAGTAGGCCCAGCGCGGCCCCGTCCCAAGATTTGGCCTACAACAAGCGGCCGCCAAGAATTACTTGGTACCCTTCTACCTAGCGCAGGAGTCCAGGGCCATCCCAGGTAAAGATCCGAATGCAACCACTCCTAAACCTCGAACCCCCGTTGGCTCTTGGACCTGCCGAGTAGCGCGCAGGGCGTATGACCCTGGAAAGTGGCCTGATTTTGGGGGTTGAGAGAGATGACCGGCGGCCAGGCCCTCGGAACGAGCGAGCTACTATAGTATGGTTCTTAGAACCGGCCGTGGCACGATGAAACGGTCCCTCTCTACCTCTTTGGCGACGGGCTTGCGGTGTTGACCAACAAAAGAGTCCACTCTTCTGCTTCCTCTGATGAACACTCCCTCATCCGGTTTCGTTGTGCAAAGGGAAAAGATTTCCAGATTGGCATCTCCTCCTCCTACTTCTGGAGGTCTGAGAACAAAGGGGAGGTGGGGCGTCTGGGTATCTGAGCGCAACCGTTGGGCAGCAGACGCCTTTCCCACGTCAAGCAGCAAAAGATGTCACCATTCGAAGGCGGATCTTTTCCCCGTCGAAGCCGAAGACGATAGAAAGAAGACAAGAGGGAGGGAAAGAATGGTAGTAGCCTTTTCCCGCCACCCCCATCCCATGGCACATGCTCGGCACTGAGCTCCTGCACCAGTCGGAATACGTCCCTGGCGACTCCTCACTGCAGTATCCGTAGCGGCGCCGGGTATGCAAGGCGTAAACCCCCCCCCCTTCTGAGTTACTTAGAGAAGGCCCCTAACTTACTTAGAGAAGGAGGGGCCTGTAATCATTTCTCTTCCTTTTCCTCTCTCCCGATTGCATTTCCGTTCATGACATCCGTGCTCAGATAGCCTTTTTATCGCTCTAACAAAGGGGTCTGGCCACCAGCGAAGATGATCACAAATTTTCAAATATTATACCAACTCATGTAAGTACTTTTGTTTGCTCTTGTGTGTATGAATCCAACCCGTCTCGTCAGGGGACCCCCACGTTCCTCAAAGATAGGGCCTGTGAAGACGGCTGGACGTGTGTGCCGCATGCATGCCCACAACCACCACCACAAACATCAACAACAGAGAATACGACAAGATAAGTGAGAGTTGGCGTCTACCTCGCCTCTCCATATTTCGAAAGGAGAGAAAAGGGCAGGCAGGCAATCATGTAACTTTATTGAAACAATGCACACACGAATTATGTATACATATAAATATACATGTAGGTATTATATGTTGTATCTTTGATAGATAATATACATACATAAGATGTCCCTCTGGTGCAACACCAAACGGGATCGCCTGGAAATTGATCTGATGAAGTCCCCATGTCCACATGAACGAAAAAAAGAAAAGAAAAGAAAGCAGCGGATATGCCCAGCCCAGCCCGCTCAAAGCAACAACACTAGGCAAGGGGGGGAAGGGAGGGGACCCAGGACCTGTTCGTCTGGGTGTCTCAACCAACCCGGTCGAGCAAAAAGCTGGTGCGAGAAAAAGAAGGAATTAAAATAAAAATCGATTAGAGAGAGAGAGAGAGAGAGAGAGAGAGAGGAGGAGGAGGAGAAGAAGAAAAAATGTTCCCTAATTAGCCCACACCCACACAAGAAGCCCCCCGCCCCCATCTCCTCCATCCCGAAACACACGATAAAGTTTGGTAGCGAGACCACCAACGCATTTTGATGTCTCCTGCTGGCCTGACTTTTCCATTAATTGACTATGTGCTTGGCGTATTATGGATGGGGGGGTGTAGGTGTGTACATGTATGTACAATGGTATACTAGCCGTACAGTAGAGTAACAGTATAGCTGAAAACATTAATGATTTTGCGCATGTTTGTTTGCTTGTTTGGTTGTTTCTTTCATTTCGTATCTAAGGGAGGATATATAACCGTCGGATATACATTTTTATTTGTTTTTTCTTTCTCTCTTTCTTTGGCGGCATTGTGTACATAAAAAAAAATCAATCAATCATACTAAACTGATAAACACCTTTCACCGCACGAATACGAGCTGTGGACCTTGTGTGTGTAGTATGATTGATCATAGCGAATGCCCCCGGCGCTTCAGATGGATGGATGGATGGATGGATGGATGATAATGAACACGCACGCTGGTTACTGTACATTTGGGCAAAAATGACAAATTTTTGTTCCGACTCTCCCTCCAGCTTCCCACCACACCGCCAGCCCCCTCCTCCCCTCTCCCCTCCCTCATCTGACCCCCAACACCAACCTCCCCCGCTCTCTTCTCCTAAGACAAAACACCGCTTTCCTGGTCCGTGAGGATGATCTCTTCTAAAGAAAACAAAGTGTACTAGTAATATCCTAAAAATGCTGAAACAAATCGCTCTGTCTATAGACAAGTAAAGCAGCAGGAAGAAACAGGATCCGTAGTTCAGTGCTAAAACCCCACAACGGCAGTAATAAAACAAAGAATATAAACTACTTACACATGAAGCGTGCCAGTGGAATGAACAAACTTGAAGATGGTGATGATAGTAAGCAATTCTCCTTCCCCTCCCTCCCCCCCAATCCCTCCTTGCGCACACAAGATCCGACTAGAAGTAGGGAAAAGCTCACCACCGCACCCTGTTAATTTTCAACTTTGCTTATCCTTTCAAATCCAACCCCCCCCCCCCCTTCAACCACGACCAAAGAAAAGAAAAAGAAAAAAAGCCCAGATCCTCCACACCCTTTCCAATACAAAATGGAAATTTTTTTTTTTCCAGGTGGGGTTTTCCTTTTCTTTTTTGGGTTTATTCTTGGGGGGGTTTGCGGCAAAACACTAGTATCAGAATGAATGACGATGGCCTTTTCTCACCACGCCGTCTTCCCAAAATAGACTCCCAAATATCCATCCCAAGAAAGAAAGTAGGTTGCCCGTCGATGACTCGTTGCGGCCTTTCGTAGAAAACACCGGCGTTACGGGAGTGGTATCATCGATCTCAAAACATCTCGTGCGCCTGCGAGAAGAAGAAAATTTTTCTCTCAAGGATTCCATAAGCCAAACAATAAAACAAAAAAGTTCCCTCTCATGGGTTGATGTCGTCGTGCCGTGACCCAATGATTTGCGTGTAACCCTTTCGAGGGGCAGAAAACAAAAAGAAGGGCTGTCACGCCCATTTTAAGAAAGAAGAAGAAAAATAAAAGGCTTCCCTCGTTCCCTCCTCTCTTCCGTATGGTAATACATTTACTGGTGACCGCCGTGACCCGTCGCGCTGTGCCAACCGTTCGTGGATCGTCCCGGTCCCGACAAGTAGGAGGTGGTGTCGTCGCCGCCGCCGCTGCCCCCCCAGGGTGATGCGCTAAAGGACGCGAAGAACTGATCGCCCCGGGCCGGCCCACCGATCGTGCTGGCATTCATAGACGGTGCGGAAGTCAGCGAAGGATGGTTCCGTTGGGGTCTGTACGCCGGGCATACTCACTGGAGGGTGCGCGGGCGTGGTCATCGGCGGGAAGTCCATGGAGGAGGTCATCTGGGCGGGAGCATATGCCAGGTGTGTCGAGTTGGCAGGCAGCTCGCACGTAGCTGCGGAGGTGGACATGGAGGAGGAGGAGGACGGGCCCCCCATTGGGGTGGCCCCTGCAGGTTTGTACTCGGCGGTTTCCGCTGTGGCGTGGAGGGGAGCCATCGCATAGGAGGAGGGTGTCGTCGCGCCTACAAAGTAGTGGTGTCCTGCCCGCGCTGGGTCGGTCATGGGAGAGTAATAATCGTGTCCGTCGGGTGTCGCTGTCTCGTAGGCATCTGAGCGTCTTCTCTTGCTGCTGCTGCTGGTGCTGCTGGGGCCGGCGCTGTCTATCATATGAGACATGTTGTGTCCAAAGGTATGTAGCTGTAAGGAGGGCACTCGTCGCTGCTGCTGCTGCTGCTGCTGCTGCTGTTGGTGGTGTTGGTGGTGTTGGGGTTGGTGATGCTGCTGCTGTTGCTGCTGCTGCTGCTCCCAAGGAACAAAGGTGTTGCTGGTGGGTGGGGCCCCATAGTGGCTTCCGCCCATCTGCAGCCCGGGGTCCATGGAACTATGGACTGGGACGCCCATGTGGAACTGATTTGTGCCATATGGATTTGCCGACATGATGCTGTTGGCCATCTGTGGTATCTGTGGTAGGGAGGATGTCCGCTCCAGCGTCGGCGTCTGGGCGTAGGGGGCAGGGGGGATCATTCCAAGGAGTAGGGCTCGGTCGTCCAGGAAGCGGGGGTCTTCTTGCTCGATGGGGACGCGGAAGTCCTGGAGCTGTATGAGCTCGGGTCGAGGTCTTATGTGCACGAGCTTCGGGTCATCACTGGGGAAGGGGAGCCTATGGTTCCTCGCGTCCTCGAGGGAGTAGTAGCTGACAAGGTGGTGCATAACGTTGTTCCACTTGATGCTGATGGTCTTCTTGATTAGCCCACCCTCCTTAAAAGGGTACGAGTCGACGAGGGAGCCCAGGAGCGCCCTCTCCCGCTCGTCGTTAAGAGAAGTCGGCGCATCAGGCGTGGTGCTGTTGGTAGTGGTGGTGGTGGGGTGGCCGCTCTGCTGGAGATCGGGCTTGCCCTCTCTCTTCCGCTTGATAGCCCTCTTCTTATCACCAGAGGGGAAGCTCTTGTCGAGCTCTCGGTAGATCAGATAGTTGCCCAGGATCCTGCTGGGGCTCCAATTCTGTCCGTCAGTCCAGCGCTTGATGCCGGAGGAGGACTCCTCATAGACGAACACGTTGCCGCTGCGGATGAGATGTTCTCGTTCTCTGTCGTGTGGCCGACGGGCGGTGTGCATGAGAGTGCCTGTGAGACAGGCCTCGACAACCTTGAGCGCGTCGATGGTGGACATGACCATGCCCCGCCAGGTCGGGGTGAGCACATTGCCTGATGGTGTTGAGGGGGACGGCAGAGGCTGTGGGTGTGGGTGGTGATGCTGGGGCTGAGGCTGCCCATGGTGCGACACAAGCTCGTCCATGGTGGTGATTCTGGTGGTGAAGGTGGTGTTGATTGGAGAAGGGTGGTGGCTGCTGCTCGAGGGGCCAAAGTCGGATGGTGTCGACTCTGGTGTGGGTGGTCCAAGAGGCTGGTACAGCGGGCGCGGACCGGATAAGGCCGCGCAGTGCATAGAGTTTGCGTGTGGGTGGGTGTGTGTGAGTATGTGAGAAGATAGGTCCAAAAAAATATCTCAAAGAAGATATAAGAGAGCGTAGAAGAGTCAGAAAAAGAAAGATTGAGACAGAGAGAAAGAAGAGAAGATTCAGGCGACTTGTCGGTTGCTGCAATAGTTGTTTATCGGGTGTCGAATTAAATAAGATTAGATCCCGGGGAGAAATTCAGAAGTAATAGGTCAAAGTTTTTTGGTGTCAAGTCTGAGTGAGGAGAAGCAAAGCAGTAGTGAAGTGACTGCAACAGTAGCAGGCTCTCTCTCTCTCTCTCTCTCTCTTTCTCTCTGTATGTGTGTGTTTCAGTTTGATACGCAGGGCAAGGGCGAAAGAGAGTAAGAAAAGAATTGGATAGAAGCTGAAGAGCTATGTGGTTGGGAATCAAGGAGGGAGAGAGGAGGGGAGGAAGTTGTTATGTATGTCTTTGTTGGTGGTGGTGGTGGTGGTGGTGGAGTTGGTGGAGGAGGTGGCTCGAGAAGCTGCTGAGTTTGATGGATGACCTGCAGCTCAGGTTCAAGCGCGATATGGCGGCCGTTTTGTGTCTTGTCCAAGAAAGAAGAAGAAGGCCTGTGAACGACCACGCTCGAACGTTGCAGCGTCGTGCCCCAGTTTAGACTGCCCAGGTCGTCTTAACGAATCGTATTCGGAACAGGGATATGGCAAGTACCAAGAGCGAGCCGGCACAGCCTCTGTCTGGAGGTCAGCCTCGGGGTGAAGTTATCTTGGATCGTCTTCGTCTTCTTCGTCCTGTTTTCCTTCTCCTCCCTCTAGGCCGTCCGCTAGGCAGGATGAGAGTAACTGATTTGCGAGCGAGTAATGTCGGGCTGACACTATCGAGGGTAGACCTTGGACAGCTGAAAAAAAGAAGCGAGGGAGGAGGGTGGGAAAATTGTCACCACATATATACACGTTCAACTGTCGCTCGTTACAACCAGCAAGGTAGGCTGATCGCAAAGCAGACAGGACCTGACGAAGAGGAGCCTGATCAAACTTCTAGACTTCAATGTCGGGGAAGGGGGGGGGTTCACTCTCACTCTGACCTGGTTTGAACCGGATTGCCCTTGCCAACTCGCAGACCAGGAGCACCATAGTACCATAGTACCATAGTAACTTAGCAGTTTCTGCCCATATCGGTGCTAGGTGGGTGCTGTGCTGTGCTGTGCTGTGCTGTGCTGTGCTGTGCTGGTGCTGGGGGGGGGGGGCGTGGCGGTTGAGAGTGTGGCACGTACTGTACTGCGTAGTACATAGTAGTAGTGGTAAGGGTAGTAAAGTACTGCAGTACTACCATGTACAGTAGTATGGGTAAAAAAAGCTAGGGTGCGACCAGAGAGGAGAAAAGAGGGAAAGAGCTGGGACACCTGGTAGATAGGGCCCGCGCAACTAGTCGACAGGGACCCAGGGCCCGGGTTGCTCAGTGAATTGTTAACTGTAGTAGCACTGTAGCAGTACTGTGGAGGATGGGCATCAAGGAGAGAGAGAGAAGGTCCATCCCAAGTATCCTCCTCAGGGGGCGGGGCGGATGGAATGCTACTGCCCTCTCAAGCTATACCCTGCCATTCCAGCACGCCAAGAGTGGCATAGTACCCAGTTACAGCACCTGTACTATGTACCGGCACCAGTACCAGTACCAGCGCCAGCACCAACATAGTAGCACAGCACACGTGAACCTTTCCTCCCTACCTACCTACCTCTCCGCAAATCGAGCCCCCCCACTCTCCTTCATTTTCTCTTTCTCTCTATCCCCCCTCTCTGTCTTCCCCATTGACCACCCCCCCCCCCGCCCTCAAAGCCCCAGGGCATGGTTCCAAAGGCGCGATTTTTGTTTAGGGTCCGCACGGAGTTTTTCCCCGACAGCCCGGAAGCAGCGGAGGGATGGGGAGAGGTTGCGCGCGCGCGCGCGCCATGAGACGATCCAGGGGGAACGTAAACGTAAACTTGGATACTTCTGCCGCTGCCGGTGCCGCCGCTCTAGATTTTAGGTTCTATTGACAAGGCTGCTGGTTCCTACGCGCCTGGCTTAGTCTTTTGTTATGGTGGTATCGCCACCCAGATGCAGGAACGTGAAGAAAAGACGCCGCAGCCCTGGTAGAAAGGAAGAAGATGAACAAGGAAGATTAAAAAAAAAAAATTGTAGCAGGATTATTGTTTGCCCAATCGTTGATCCGACGGTTGCTTCGGGATGTTGTTTTTGAGCCTTGGCTGCCCAATGGAAGTTGAATTGTCTTGTACCGCGAGTCGAAAGTTGACACAACACAATGGAAAACCTGGCGTCCACTGAAAGTACCTTGGCGGTTTTGACGCTGCCCTAAACCCCCCCCCCCCCCAACAGCCCAATTTTAGTCAGACAATTTCGCTGACTGCTCTGGACTGTGTTTCAAGAGAGGTAAACCAGGGACAAGATAGATGAATGAAATCTCTGTGCTGGATTCTCAAACATTCCCCCTCCCCCTCATTGGCTCTCCTCTTTGGTTGTCCTTGTTTGCACTTGCTAGCGAACTCGCAAAGATAATCCTCCTCATCTTAGACAGCAGCGCTGTAGCGGCAGAGGGGCCCAAGCCAAGGGGGGGGGGGGGGGCGCAAGGCTGGACCTGAAATCGATCATGAGACTGTGATAGATGTTGGCCAAGGCACGTTTGCCCCAAATGACTTGTAGATCCATCCACATAGAAGGTAACAGCAACAGGGATATCTGCCAGATGTCAAAATTACAGCCGCCTCAAAGGCTGAAATTGACGAGGGTTTCTCCATGAAGGAAAAGTACAGCGGCAAATCGTTAGTACATTTAGTTATGGTAGTAGCAGGAGAGGAGCAAAGAAAGAAGGAGAGAAGAGAGGGGTGGAAAGAAAAATGGAGGACCCATGTCGAGGAGGATACGACCATCAAGCTCGCACCGTTTGCGGGGCAAAAGAGGCCTGACTCCAGGCGTGAAAGATGAACACAGGGCGGCGCGGGAAGCACGGACACGATTCTGCAAGGAACAAGCAAGACACAAAGGATAGAAGGAGGAGGAGAAGAGGGGAGGGGGCGTTCCTGGGCGGATACCACATAGTACTATTGTTGTGATGGTGTGGGAGTAGTCTGTTCGTTGTTTTCACCTTATCATGGGATCGTCTCGTTTGATGCGAATGCGACTCGCTTGAGAGGGGCGGAGGGGAAAGCTGCCCATGATAACTTCTCTCTCTCGCTTTCTGTTGTACCGAGCATCCTCCCCGCTCTCCTCCCTTTTCAGCAAGGCGCCTCTTCCTCGCTTGTTTCTTGTTCTCTCATGTGTGCAAGTGTATGTGTGTGTGTGCGTTACCACTTCTTATCCTGCCAAGACATGAGTAAGTATGCTGCAAGGCTGGCTCAAACACACGTGTGATATGCATTGATCCAATAGGATAATTTTGTACTCTTTCAGAAGAGAACCTGCCGGCTGCCGAGTCAGAAATTCTTGGGGGGCGGGCTGTAGTACATGGTTCAAGAGCCAAGAAATGTGATGTCGCGGCCCATCCTCCTTCTGTTTTTTTTGCTGTAGCCAAGAAGAGGAGACCCTTATTGTCTCACAAAAAGGTCTGAATGGCCTCGCAAGACGAGCTCAGTCCCATGGGGGGCGTGAACTCAGCTAAACTTTTTTTCTTCTTTTTTTGCTCAGTCAGGCAGGTGGAGGGATGTGAGGGGGGAGGGTTGTTGGTTTGGCTTTTGGTTTTCGTTTCATGCCTTTTGGGTGGTTGGAGCAGCTGCAGCTATCCGTTGTCAAAAATAAATACAGTAACCCAAAAACAAGAGTCGTCGTACCACACTACGACCGCCAAGAGAGGAAACGCCACGAGGTGAGATGCAGACGTTCCCTTGGCGTCATGTGACTCGGCTGTGCGATCTCTCTTTCCAGATGCCAAATCTGATAATAAGGGGAAAAAATAATGTCATTCCGTCCACAGTAACGATAGGCCTTGAATTTGCCAAGACCTGATGTCACTGGTTCGGTTCTTTGATCAGATTTCATATTATTTAGCAGGGCCCCCAGGCGTGCCAGGGAAGGAGCAGCAACAGATCGGCATCCCCAGTGGGGACCCTGCCGCCTGTGGGGCCCCTCTTTCCCATGCTCTTCTTCCTTTTCTCTCTGTCTCTCTTTCCTTTGGGGGGGTGGTTGACTCGACACCACCCTTCCTCCCCACGTGTGTTTGGTGTTGTATTGGGGGAGTACGTACGTGTGTGTGTATGTATGTGTGTGTGCCACGGCAACTGTGTGTGGGTGGGTGTGGGTGGGCACTCTCTGACTGGGTGTCTACTCTGTGTGGCATGTGGCATCATGGCCCCCTGGTTGTGTAAGTGAGCCTTGTGATGATAACCACCCCATAAAACAACCCCGGCCATGATCCAAGAAGACGAGGCTGTTCGAGTGTTCGAGTCGGTACCCCCCCTCCCCCCAGCTGCCAAGCACTCGGCCCTACGAGCCTGGATAGTACATGTTTCCGAGCACCCGACTCGAACAAGTCCCTTTTTTCTTTTGTTTGTGTGTGTGTCTCTTCTGTCTCTTTTCTGCTCATCCATCAAAAAAAGAAAAATGGAAAATTCCAACCCGCTCTGTCTGTGCTCATCGTCTAGGTCGCGGGTCTCTCCACCCCCCCCCATGTCCTCTTCTTCTCGCCCCCTGGACCCTTCGGGCGCGCGGTGTCCCAAGACGAGTATGGACATGACGTTTCTCCCCCGGCCGCACGCGATGTTGTATGTCGCATGATTGACATACACCATCACGATAGTCAGCCCGCTCAGATGAGTGCGTACTATGTCCATAGTAGTAGTGGTCGTATTTTATGGTAGTAGTAACAGT